CATTTACGTTCATAGTGTTATTTTATTTTTAAAATCCATTTCAGTATAAAGAAGCTAAAGATATTTACTTACGTGCGTGTAAAAGCTCTCCAACTTGTGCTACATGGCTAGGTGTTGGTAAAGCTTGTTATAGAGTAAGTCAATTAACCATGAACATTTCGTAATTCTGATTGATTGCGGTAATTACTTTTATCAGAATTTTGTAGATATTTATATAATGCGAATATATGTTATCTTTGTATGGATTTGTAAGTTCGTATTTGATTTTGAACTTAAACATTGTTCAATCAATGAATATCTCTTGATGTATAGTCCTCTTTCACGCAAATCTCGACATAAATTTTAATTGTAATAACTAATTTTTTGGCAGCCAGCGACCATTATTCATTCGTAGTCTGGTGGTTGATAGTTAAATGTTTGCAGTTAGGAGCATTGAAATCCATTTCAATACTTTTATATATAATTGACAACTCTGAACACAATTCTAAACGGTTATTAATACAGCTAATGATAAGTTAAAGTTTTACTCTCAGATGATAATATCAACATTTCTTCCCTAAACGAAAAGTAATTCATTTGCATTAAACAATAAGACATGTTGAAACTCAATCATATGCTAAATAATTGGGAACTTACTTTGACATTAAGTGCTGGGATAGTTATTAGGCTATTTGCAAGAAGTGTATCTTTTACACGCACGACCGACATATCTTTTACACACTAAGTTACAAATGAATATTGTTAAAAATGAATGCTGTAGAACTAAGAAAACCCATTAGGAAATTTGTAAACGAGTGACACATGCATAAACACAATAAAGGATGAAAGGGTTTGGCCAATAATCCAAGCTTGGAATAGTTGTCTAGCATTTAATTCACGAATGACTAAATTATTTTCCAGACTTCGTAGATACGTCTGTGTTTCTTAAGTATACATAAAATTGATAATAATCATTCCAATCTTCTCGTCATTAATTACGTTAAGATTTAGTAGCTTTTATAATTCAGACGAATTACCTAGAAAATTAGTAATTTCGTCATATTATGTCAATGTTCAATAGATTAGTACTAGTTTCCTTTTCTATATTTTTAATTGCATTTAAATTAAGGTGCTAGATCTTATTTCTTTTCTCATTTTCATATCGTATGAAGCTAGAGGAACTAGAAAATGCCGAAGAAGCTCTCACTGAGGCTAATTATATTAATAATAGAAATCCAGAGGTTTGGGCTTATTTATCTATGATATGCTTAAAAACAAATCGATGTACAGAAGCCGAACAATCCTTTAAATATTGTATAAAAGTTAGTAACTGTATTTTATTTGTCATCATTCTAATCCTCTTATCAATTTAAACAAATATTCACCACAGACATACACATTTGAAATATATTGGGCTGTGGGGTGTCTGGAGTTCTGTCATTTCTATTAGCATTTTGAAACTTTTGTTTCGTTCATGAATCAAACTATTTGAGGTAATTAAGATGCTTCAATGATTACAAAAGCAAGGATGCTTCTCGACTATCCGGATTGAGAATATCTGCAACATGAATTACTTGAAGCGAAACGAGCCATGATTTTTACAAATTTTTAGTCAAACAGAAACCTACTTAAGCTGGTAACCATTTTTCGGAAGTGGTGCTAGATAAAGAACTAACTCTGTGCTAGGAAATCCCTATCTATTCGGTAGTAATATGTTGCCTTCACACACATTTTATATCTTAATGAAGGTTAGAATTGCCAAACATATAAAGGAGCGAATCGAGCGAAGAAATTTCTTTTCAATTAGTTTTTCATCATGATTTACAATAATGAAATAATACTCATCGAGTGGATACGTTACGTAATAATTACGTAATGACATTTCGATTATAAATTAAAATTAAGTGATTGGAAGAAAGGATTAATAATGATCAAATTAATTATTCGAAAATCAAGAAGTTGCTACGTTACATAATATATGGGAAAGAGAAGGAACAGAATATTTTGATGAGTGGTCAGTAGAATAGTAGTTATGTAATAATCAAGAGATGAATGTTGAGAATAAGCAAAATACAGAGTTCAAAAAACAAAATGAAATAAGTACGAAGACAGTTTATCAACGTTCTGTTACAGACGCCCCTATACCGATGACCAAGGTAGCAAAAGCGGTTGTACAAATGTCTTTTGGATCCAAAGGTTAGGTTTGTGAACATGGATTGCGATGGCTTCAGCAATGTGCAAAAGACGCACTAGTAAACCATATGGCAGGTTTGATGAAATATGGTAGATAACGTTAAAAGCTTTATGCAGTTCAACTTGATGACCTGTGTCAACCGAGTGAGCGAGAATAGAACTCAATCACTCTTACCTGTACTTTGTTCAACCACGACGGATGGTGCTCTGTTATACGATGACGAACTTGCTGAACTGCACGCCATGATGAAAAACTAATTGAAAAGAAATTTCTTCGCTCGATTCGTTCCTTTTTTACTTACCAAATCTCAAAATGGGAATTTTCACTATAAACATATGAGTACATTCAAGTTGAATATCGTTTTAGTTGACATGTCTATGTCCCATTTATAGCTAAAACATTTGGTGAGTTAATCGAAATAATTTCTTCCTCGTCATTGCATAACGTTGCATCCATATCGACGTTGGTAACTTACAAAATATGAAGGAAGGACATTGAGTGTTCACAGAAGTCCTTTATGGAAAATTATAATAACGCTAATCAAATTACCTCCTTCGTCTACTCGACTGTGAGGAACCGCTAGGTGTTCTATGGCCATTTCTCCAACATACGAATTTAATATACGGCTTCCGATCTCTATGGAAATGAGAATCTCTCACCGTATAATGGTAGTACTTAGCCTTTTCATAAGTTCTAATGGCACTCTTCGACGCTTCAAGAGATTGGAACGCTACGAGGTAAAATGTGCTTAAGAATAGGTTATCGGTTTCTGTGACGTGAGAAACGACAGAGCTTGTGCTTTGCACGTTACTACCGTCCATAACTGGAAGAAAATACGCTCTGTCGCCAAGTGCTGACATCTTATATCAACTTTAAGAAATAAACGACCGATTATAACAAATTTAAAACTAGCTATTTGATTGAACGAAACAGAATGAAAGTTATTGGAAGATGCGGATGGGGACATTTTTCAAAAGGGATGGAAAAAAAGTTTTAAAAAATGGCCATGCGATTAATGTTAACCGTAAGTGTAGCAATAAAGAAAATAACAGTAGATTTTATCAATTCACTTGTGAAAACATTTTCACTGATCCAAAATTCAATAGTAATATTAAACTTTCATTTTAGATGAAATTAAATGATACTGAATTGTTGAATGAAATACACACCCTTCAAATGGAAGTTGGTTGGGGCAATCCTCTTGCTTACTGGGTAACGTCTTATTCACAATGATTAATGGTTATGAGGAAAAAGAAAACAATAAATGTCTCATATTGAATACACGACTTTATTTATTATTTATGAATAGTTTTGTATCAATTTGATTGAAGAAGTGTAGAAATAATTTATGTTTCACTGAAAAAAATTTACATTTCGATAACTTTTTTACTAAAGGTTGTACGATTTTATCCATGTGATATAATTTAATCTAATGAACAGGTTTTACTTTTTCATGAAGATATATATGATTATTTGGATTTGTAGAATGCATTTATTTATAATAATGCAAAATAAATAAACGGTTCGTTAATGACTTGAAAACAAAGTAGATGTACGAAACGAAAGATCTAAGACACAACTACAAAATAAGAAATAACGATGTGAATTTTGATGTAGGTAAATGGAGGTTACTAAAAACGACAATGATATTCGGTTAAGAGTAGTAACTTAATCATAATAGTGATGAGAATTGAACTTTAGTGAAAAAAATGGATAATGATTGAGATGCTATGATGTTATGGTCAGTCACATATTCCAAAACAGAAAATTTTGTAGTTCTGAGTTTTATTTTACTGAACAATGTGCTCTTTTAAAAGTTGAGAGAATTTCCTTGATGAATGACATACACACTATGCATTACAAGAACAGGTGAACAAATATATGCAAACATGCATACATAAACCTTAATGATTTAAATACACTCAAGTCAGGTATGAAAGTGGTACCAAAAAATGTTCAGATTATTTATTTATTTGGACACAAATATTGGTACAAAGGGGCACCAAATAAATATGCGCCACACAAGTCACCTGATTTGTGTGTGGCCTATGATACTACCCGGTCGCACAAACCGACTCTTCGGCCGGGAATCGGACCCGGACCTTCCGCATGACAGGCGTAAATACCACCATACTATCGAGGGAAGATCTAAGTTTTGGAGAAAACGCTTCATGTAAAAGAAGATCATTTAGTTTCTGATACACTAACTGCTATATGACTATATAAAAGGCCCAGGATTCCACTGGTACAACAAATGTCGATAGAGATTCATTAATTCATCGACTGATGATTTACCTAACATACAAGTTGGTAAAGGTCAAGCGAAAACATCCTGCAATTTCGTCAAACACCAACCCACCACAGTTGATAGAGCTTCAGAGATAATTGAAGTGGCTGATGCACTCAGCTAATTCACTCCCTATAATTTGTTAAAGCATTGACTTAGACCAGTCCTAAAGAAATATTCTGCATTTGCAGTAATAGTGGGACGAATCACAAACATAGTCAGTAACAACGAGAAAAAATGTATTCAATTTTGAAAGTGTATTCTCCAAAAAAATAAATAAGACGATTATAATATAAAAGACAAATTGTCAACTGAATGAAAAATGCTAAAAATAAAACAAGAAATTACAATTCAAAGAAATCATTATCAACTGTGTTTACTTCAATGATAATATATAATTATAACCATAGAAATAGAAAATAGGGATTAAATAGTCATAATAATAATAGTAAGAGTAAGTTAATCTTATGCATGTATGGTATTCATTTATTATTTACTAATCACAGTTTCTGGTGTAAATATGAAAAAAAAATTAAATATTCACTTTGTCTTATTCACTGATAGTGATTTACGTTGAACTGATGACACACGCCAATTTTCAGTATGTTCAGCTAAACTATCATACCATTGATCCGGTAATAATGGAAAATAACTATGCAATTGATAAAGAAAACGTTCACGATATAAATCTGGTGTTAATATAGTTGGCATTGGACCTTGTGCACTAGTTATTGTTTGTTTAATAATCATTTCTAAACGTTTATCTAGTGTAAATTTACGTAGATAATCAATTAGACCAATAATAAGTTGATTAGTTGTTGTATCAACACCAACTAATAGAGAATAATCCATAATAAATAGATTCGCTAAAAATGCAGTATCCATATTTAGACAATGTGAAAGAGCATTCTGAAAATTAAGAAAACAGATAAGAGAACAAGGGAATAAATCTTTAAAGGCACACACACACACGATAACAAGTTAAAACGTGCTACTGCTGTTAAACAGATATACAAAACTCTTTCTACACTAAACAGAGCAAATCAGATAAATAGTAAATGAGAATAATCTAAACTTTTGTATATGAATGCAAAAATGTCCTGGTTAGTGAAAATTATTTGCTAAATGTCGAAACAAAATACAAACGTATAAAACTGATCCGTGGTAGTGTACAGCTGACCATAGAGTTCATAGCAATGGAACGTGGAAAGTCTAAAGCTTATGTAACTGATAGCAATAACAGTGATACCTGAGAAACAAGGTTCATAAGTTCCATTTTCATAGCAAAAGCAGTGAGAGATGTAAGAAAGAAGAGTACACTCATAAACAGAAATGCATAATATATGTAGGATAATGTATAGACTACAAATCCAATCCATCTGCTTGAGTTTGAGGAAGTCGATGGTAAGTATGAAAAGCAGTCAAAACCAAGTACACTGAAATGCACTTAGATAATTTTCTGTACGTTTACGTTTACAGCAGAGATAATGAAAACATGAAAGAAAAACGAAATGAGATGGAAGTAATTATCTTTGATACCTCTAAAACAAAATCCACGGGTACAGAAAATACTTTCTATTTGATCGAAATTTTGGTTAAACTGCACAGACTTAATAGTCGAACTGTAGACATAACTTTATATACTTAAACTAATTTCCACTATTTAAATACCTTCATACTTGTCGGAGGTTCAAGACTATAGGAGTGTCAATCGTCTAAAATTAAGTCAATAAATCAACGGCATTGGCAAACAGTCTTTAGATAACTAAAAATTGTCTGGTCTATTAAACAATGTAAAAAGGTTCGAGCAGTGTTAAAATCAAACAATCATCAATGAAAACTAATCACTAATATAAAAAGGTTAATCAATTTTATTGTATTCCGCAGATAGCGTTATTTCTGTTAAGATTACAGGAACACCTTGCTGATGAGTGTCAAATAGTGTGGAACCTACGTTCATGATTACTCGTACACTACCCCCAACTATTCAATGCATGATTGAATCTAAACAGCTCAGAGTATATATCTACCGCTCTTTTTATCGAGTAGGTAGATTTTTGTTCCCAGAAAGAAAAGTAGGATAAGCATTGAATGTGTTACAATAAATTCCATCTCATAAAAAGCATGAACTACCTCATACATCAGTCAGAAAAATGCAAGACCTCAATTAAGTTCGCATCCATATAGTGTTCCACTTAGCATAAAAAATTCAAAGAGTATAGTTATGAAATGTATCAGTGGTTGTAAAAAAAAACATTTTAAGATCTCTCAAGGAAAATTATTCTTCTAAGATGTTGGAGGGTGCCGATTGTCTGGCTTTTTATAACTTAACTTCGAACTCATAGGTTGCTATGGTTATTTAGCTGGGATATTTATTTAAACATTATGCTGTTAACTAACGTAGATAAACTTTCACAAAGAGAACGTGTGATTTTTGGTTTTAATCAAAGATGTCTGCATATAGAGGGTTTCAGTAGATGGACAAAAAGAAAAAAACTTTATGATGAATGACATAAATCAACATTATATAGTTTGGACTAAAACAATAAAGCGCTGTATCGAGTGCTTTGAAAAATTATAGTATTTTCCTACTAAAAAATATTCAATCATTTTTGTTTAATGAATGGTGTTTAATAAAAGAGACTAACCTTTGAATGAACTCTTAAATACAACGGATTATCTATTGAAGCATTTAGTAAATTCTGATCTAGAAGAACAGGTACATTATGTTTAACTGTAGTTGTCTCTGAAGTCAAACCACTATCTGATACTGTTGTTGACTGATTGCATGTAAACGAGTGGTACGATGCAATACCGGAATTAGTTGTACTTTCATCAGTTGTTTGTGCTAGATCTGTAGGCATAGTAGTAGAGTTTGCATTAACTCCATTATTGTTGATATTATTGAAGGATTCATCTACCAGTCGTTTACGTAGTGAGCCTTTCAAGTCATAAATATATGCCAGTTGAGTACGTCCATAATATAAATTTTCCATTACAAGTACATCGAATCGATGGGCTTCACCTGATGTAGAATTTTTAAATCCAACATGGAAAATGCCTAGTATTCTTGATAAAACACAAAGACGCTGTAAAAGGATTTTTTAAAACAAGTATAATTAATTGGATAGTTTTAAAATAATTGTCACATAAAACACAATAAAATATGTTATAAAGTGAGGAACTAGTGAAACGAAGTCAATTTATTAAAGTAAAAAAATCACCACAAATGAACGTTTACGTTGATGTGGATGAAACGAGTGTAAGAATGAATGCTGTTCAGTAACTAGTATAGGGTTGTGGAGATTGTTGAGTTTTAATTAAGATGAAGAACCGATCAATGTTATACCACCATTGAAAACCTAGAAGCGCTGGACGGCCGTTTCGTCGTAGTATGTAACTCATCGGCAGTGCGCATCCACGATTCCGCACGCAAAACTCAAATCCAGGACCTTCGGTCTGGCACGCGAACGCTGTTCAGTAAAATAAGTCAAACTTTACAAAAGTGATTGGCCACTAAGCGTGGACCAACAAACACTCAGTTTACTGTCTATTGTGCACATTATTTCCTTATTATTATTATTATTATTATTATTATTATTATTATTATTGATTTTTACTTTGGACTCATTGAGCGCAGACTACTGGTAATTGTGTTGAATACAGTATTGTCTAACTCATGCTCTGGTTTGATATTTTTGGTCGGGAATCGTGAATCTAGTTTAAGGTAATTCGGTCTGTGTATAACATATCGATCGACTATCCAATCTAATGGTAATAGAATATCGATCACCGGTTGCATCATTCTATGGTAGATGGTAGTAAAAAGTGGCAAAACAGTAAATAATTTATCTTTATCTTTGTATCTAAAGCCTCATGACAACAAAATAGAATACGATAATAAAAACTGTAACCAGCAACAACTTTGAGTTCAAACACCGGATTAAATGTATGATTTCCACTCTGTCCATTACAACCAAAGCGCTGCATAGTATAAGTAACCACGTCCCCCTTCATAAACATGAGGTGTAGCTATAAATCGGCTGAATGGAGCTGTATATGATAAACCAAGCTAACTGTTGTAAGCAGAGATGGGTGATGGCCAACAGCAAAATCTAGGGCCAAAGTTTTGTCCCATTTCGAGACTCATTAGCAGGATTCATCTGACAAAGTTTTAATTCATTCGTATCCCAATAAAGATATTTAAAATGCCAAGAACGGTAAATTATGATTGGTGTTTCTTCTAATTTTTAAACGTTTTAACTAAATAATGTACAAATATAACTAAATAGGTCAAAATTAAAATATATATTTCGCGAATACATATTATGTACGTATATAAACTTTGCATTATATGTGAAGTATTAGTTAATGGAAAATAAAACGGTCAACACATTAAGTGATTAAATAAAATTTAATAAAATATATTCTATGAAATATGTAGCATCTTACTTGTTCAAGTGCTGCAGTAATCACATAATCGAAATAATCCTGAGAGATTTCATGAAATGTTTTCATTTCAATTGAAGATAGTTCTTTAATTACAAATCGTTCATCTGTGAATTACCAAGTAATAAAAAAAAGTTCAATTATATCGCCATATATATGACTAACGTAGAAAATATACTCATATACCGTCAGATGTATGCATAATAGTATATTGGTCCAAAAGTAAACGTGGCAACTTGGTCAGATTATTTTTCTACGGAACCTAAAAACTGTCCTTAAAAATAAAACGTCGAACAGTTTTCAGTTATTGGTTTTTACCATCTGTTTGAGCCCAGTATACACCCCTTTGAATATCTTATACTAACAGACGGTAACATTATGAACTGACAATATCGCTATACATGTTAGTGCATAATCTTATCTAAATTTGAAAGCATGATAAAGAAAGTAAGACATCAAAGAGAGAAGTGGATGGACAAATCAACATTCGTGAATTCAAATACTAATGTGCATATTTAAGCTACCCACATCGAAAATGGACAAAATACGTACTGTCTATAGTATTATTCAAATTATGAATTCTATTGTAAATAAAAATATAACATGACAATTACCTAACACATGTGTCAAAACATACCTCGAGTTTTCATGAATAAGGAACCTGATTTACCACCACGCGCATCCCATTGATAGCATCGTGATAAAGAATGTATGAAACTATTAAAAAAAAGAAAGAAGTTTCATTATCAATTTATTTAGCAATCACCATAAAAAAGTCCAAAGATATACGATTGTAATATAAATAAGACTTCGGATGGAAGACATGATAACTAGCAGTTGACTGAAAGGAATCCATTATTTGAATGTACTGTTTATATAAAATATATTTCTCTGACGAGTTAATTTTTAGTAATGCGACGTAAAGCGCGAGATTAATTATTCCTGAACTTGAGAAAAGACGTTCGATATAATCTATTCGCTTAGTCAAAAAAGCGATATACTTAGGTGTCATCTTTGGATAAGCGCTGTAAAACGAAGTGAACAATAGGTCATATTAATTAGAAAAATGTTTTTCAGATTTGTCTAACGGTTTTGGTTCAAATCACTGAGGTACTCATAATTTTCATTACTTTTCAAAATAATTAATTTTTACTTGTTTTGTATCGTCAGTTGTATGAAATAAAGAAATTAATCAGAGTATGACAACGGATTCATTCTAGATAAAAAAATACATCATGAACAGGATATTTTTCTGTATTAAACGTATAAATAGCAATGGAAAACGACCCAAAATGGACATAAAACACGAGTAAAAACATTTTCTAAAGCAACATTCGTTAGATTTTAGGAAGATCTAGGTTTCACACCAAGTGGCACTTGTCAGCAAAACGTACGTGTAATCTTAACGGGAATGATATTCAGCCTGGGACTTGAAACTGCATCAGTCGTTTTCACAGTCTAAGATACTATTACTGAGCTATTTAGACAGAATCTTATCCACTGTTGGATTGAGATATTTACGGCTGACCACCCACTGAGTAATGACCAGTGTCATACATCTATTACTTTAGTGTTGATCAGATTTTATCAATCAAACTGGAAACTGGGCACTTGTGTAACTGACTCGATATCACAAAACAAGATGCTATTTTCATTAAAAACTAATAACTGTAATGATTAATAATTAGCTGCTTTCTTTTCCACTACTTGTTTAACTAAAGCTCAAACAATGTTATTATTTAACAAGATTAAATAAAAGGATAAATTATTTGTCGGTCTATGACAGCCCAGTGTTTACTCGATTATTACGGAATCCATCTACAAATGTGATGATAACGTGCACATAAAGAATATAAACAAAAAAGAAGCGCTATGAATTAATATGTTTGAAATAATTGCAAGCTAAACACATATGTACTTCATTTTATTTACATTTGATAATTATATTTATATACCTTTAACTGAACAGTTTGTATATATATGAAGAATTAAAATAGTAATAATAATAATAAAATATAAAGCGACAGTAAATAAACATGATATCTCTTACGACAGATCTCCATTAGGCATTATAAGTTGACGTAAACGGAAAAATTCAGAGGCATAGTACACACAACAGAAGAAAGTAGTTGAACTATCCGAAAACTCTGTGGAGGAGGGACAATAATAATCGTGATAATAAACAGCAGAATGAAGAATTAGAATTTGAGAACAAAAGCCATATTTAATTTCTTATGCATGCTAAGAGTAAATGGTTGAATTCAGACGACAATAATAATAACAACAAAAAAGTGCGATTCCCTGCCAAGAGAAATAAGTTTTATACTCGTTGAGTAGATAAAACAGAACTACCATGCTGAGATTTTTAGGAATGATGGTCCAGTCTTAGAAATTAGATGAACTGAGATATTAGCTAAAATCTGGGAACCGGACGTCATCCCATCTGATTAGTCTCGATAGCTGATCGTCTCAGTTTATAAGAAACAACAAAAATCCTCTTGTGACAATCACCTAAAATGTTAACCTCAAAAATATTTTGACGTCTAGCTGAAGCTGGTGAAGAGCAAATCCGAGAAAACCAGGCTGGTATCGAAGTTGGACGTGGATGTATAAACTAAATATTCGTCTTTCAGTAGATTCTCGGACATCGACATACTATCAACGTTTAATTATGGTTGTGTTCCCTGACATTACGGCAGCGTTCGACTCCGTTGATCGTAGGGTTTTGTGGCAGTCTGTCACTGAAAGGTGTACAGAAGTAGTATACTAACATTGTACAGCCTCTCTACTCGAAAACTAATATTCGAGTCAGAGATTATGGCAAACCGTCATTGGAATCAGTCACTTCAAATGGTGTCCCTCAAGACTGCCAGTTTTCTCCATTTCTATATAACTTTGTCATAGATATGCATTAGCAATAACACTTTCCTCGTATGACTTTTCAGGGACTGATCTATCGAGAGATTCATTTGTCGACTTAGAATACGCAGATGATATAGTTCTGTTTGATGAATATGCTTATAAAATTCAGTCTTCTGATCATTTTAAGAGACAATGCAAGCATTTTTTGGATGCGATTATCTCTCTCAAAAAGTAAAACTTTACTTCAGGATTGGATGGCGTCATCGCCTGAATTAATGACTCGATCATCCCTGATGGTCTCGTGTCTGAGGAAACCTCATCACGAATTCAGAGGGTTTGACTAGCTTTGCCAACTTGTTTCACTTGTGGCGCAGGTGGGAAATCCGTCTTCCAACCAAAGGATGAGTTTACTGCGCAACAGTTCGCTTCGTTTCACATTATGGGTGTGGAGCATGGCAATTAAGAATAGAGGATATTCGTGAGTTACTAGTATTCGGTCACGGACGTCTTCGAAACATTGCTCGTGTATTTTGGGACAACGCAGTAAGAGATGACTAGGGTAGAAATAGGGTTCTAACATTTGACCGAGGGTGAAGATATGATAAACACATCCCCGATCAGAACGTAAACCAACCTCCCCCACGTAAATTTTTTCCAGGTCTTGGGCAATCTGCAAAGCATGACTGAAGATAATAATTTGGATGCAACCAGAAACAGGGTTATCCCTCAATAGTTATCGCATTTTTCAGGATAAGGACAACTATAGGCTCATTCCACGACGTTGGAACACTATCTAACTGCTGGAAGCCTAAAAACAACTAAATGATTACCTTAACCGGAAGGTCGCCACCGTCTTTGATAAAGATCGGAGACAGGTCATCTAGGCCTGGCGATTTGCAGGGCTGCTGGATTTGAAGTTCCTTGCAAACTTCTATCTCGTTAGGTGGGTTAGTTATCACAGTCCATAGAGGACGGGATAGTTTGATCGATGTCACCAAAGCAACAAACCAGTTGAACTGTTACTTGAAAAACTCTACCCATCGTCTAAGACGTCGGTAGATATCATTGGTTGGCATCACATCAGCTTCACATATCGTTTCACTCACACGACTTCTTGCTGCCAGTGACTCAAATGAGTTGATAAAGCCTCCTGTAGGTGTCAGAAGCAGCTACTGTTTCCAACTCCTTAGCACGCCACGATCAACAGGCTTCTCGGTCCTTACACAGACTTTTCACAGTTTCATTACATGACAATCTTCGTTTATTGTTAAAATCGCAATCTGTAGTGTCAGTTATTATGCCAAGCCCATATACCTTATTCGAGCTTTCGGACATCCCATTCTATTCATTTTAATTGAGCCATACATTGACCTTGTTATTTATTCGCTTATCAATCTAGACTGTTTTTATATGAGCGTATATGTGTGTGCCCTTCTTATTCCATTAATCACATGTCTGTAGCTTTATTTTCTCTGACTATAAATATTGAGTAATGCTTGACAAAGATGGAGTTGGCTTCCCAGCCATCTTCCCCGCGCGTCATTTCGCTTTGTTCTATCGCATTCACTTTACATACAAAATATATGTATTCAAATGCCATTCTCGTTAATCGACTTATTTAATTCCGTTATGGACTAACGCGATCTAAGTCGACGATGATATACGAGAATAGGTGATGCCAATCTTCCATACAATTATTCGTACTATCTAATTGGAGTCAGATCCAACGGCCACTAAAGTGGTGAGCCCTTCAACGAATATCGTCGATCCAAATGAGGACAAAATTAAGCTACGGGCCTCCAACAAAATTGGTAAGCCCGCCGACGACGAGCGCAACGCAGCAAGCTACGTCGATGAAGAGATTTCTGCACTTGATACATTCGACGAACACACTCAACGGGTCCAGCTCAATCTTTAATCCGACGCACTCAGCAAAGCCTGTGCAACACGACATGGACATGCACAAATCGTATTATCTTATTGTTACTTTGTCCTCATGTCAATTATCTTCATTGATACATTTGTCGGATTGTTCCATTACGATTCAAATTATCATTGTATGCTTATTATTACATTATTGCCAATATCTTGATCGAATGTGGAATTATTAATCTTGTTCGTGCTGTCATTAAATCATGACATTTTCGCAATCATTTTACTCACCGAACAAATTTTATGAAAATTCCACTCCACGTAATGACATCTAGAACTCATTGGGATATTTTTACTATTCAAAAACGTGAAATTTTCCTGCTTTAAGTGAGTTCGTTCCAATTTTTCATGTCATTTTGATCTAATATTGCATTCAGTCACTTAGTCGAGGTCAGCAATTTATGTTATCACAACATACATTTTTCATTTCGAAATCGCCTCTTATTATGTCTGTGGATGCCTCTAACTAGCTGATTAGAAACCATTACGTTCATCTTATCTCCTCGTCCACATGTGTAATCACATGCCGCATCATTAATTACCCAGAAAAATTATTCGAGTACTGCAACTACTATTCTATTCACATCGCACTGTATATCAGAACATAGAGTTTAGAGCTAGTCTCTCAAAGATACACTCTTGTTCGTCACATCCAAGTCAGTCTCATACGTCGCAATCGCTAACCTTATGTATTGGTATTTTTGTCATGCTTTAGTATGGTTTTGTAACAAACGAGATCGAGCACATCTCCCTCAAACCACTCTAGGCTTCACGACCAAAAAGGAGTACGACTCTACGTACCTCGTCTACTCAGTCACTATACTGTTCCTCTGGTCATTCTTCTACTAATACATATTTAACGATAACTCAATGCATCTGTCATAACGCAGACGACAACGTCCACTGACTTCATATTTTATGATTATTATCAATTGCAGTACAGCAACGAATATCACCCGTCGATGCAGTTATCATTTCACGACTTGCCTATTATCATCCTACGAACGGGAACTACGCATTTAAATTCGAATTCACTCATCGCTAGTCGATGCTATTTATTCTGCTGCGGCTTAATAGAATATATATTTCGCATATTTCGTCAGCATCACAGACCAATTTCTGTCATATTCTACTGTACTCATTTTGACGATTTATTTCGCTGTCATACCCACAAACAATTTATGATTATTTTCACGATATTTTGAATTGCTCATACAAACGTGTTATTTTATTGTTCAGTCAGTCATAGCATTAGTACATGTTAATTTTTTGTACGCTCATTAATTTGCTCATATTCGCATGCTAACGTTTCCATTTTTGTCCGCGCCTTTTCTGTATTCATGTATTCTTTTGCATAAGTATGACATTTTCATATAATACGCTCACCCCTCATGTGACACTGTACTTTATCGATTGTACAATATTTTTGGTTACTTATTGTTAACGTTAGCTTCATATCACTTCAGTGTTATTTTCGAAAACAGACATTTTTTAAATGTGCTATTTTCTACAGGGGGGCTATGTAGTGTCAGTTATTATGCCAAGCCCATATACCTTATTCGAGCTTTCGGACATCCCATTCTATTCATTTTAATTGAGCCATACATTGACCTTGTTATTTATTCGCTTATCAATCTAGACTGTTTTTATATGAGCGTATATGTGTGTGCCCTTCTTATTCCATTAATCACATGTCTGTAGCTTTATTTTCTCTGACTATAAATATTGAGTAACACTTGACAAAGATGGAGTTGGCTTCCCAGCCATCTTCCATACAATCTAAAATGGGATTCGAGAACAAAGTGCCCCTAGAAATCAATCATAGTAGACATATGAGTTGTAAGAAGCCTGTAGAAACCGACTACTTGTAAGAGACACTTTTCGCGAAGCCACAAGTGACTTTACTCGCCACTTTCATGACGTCATGCAATTGCAACCAATGCTTATATATAACTTTCGGTGAGATGGTAGCTAGCCATGAACCTAGCTCGCTTTGATATTTAGTTGCAACAACAGCCGAAACCGATTAGCTGACATCAACTCGTTTAGGACGATGAGTTTGTTGGTCGTTGAAACGTAAAATAAGATAAGTGCAAACAATGGTTGGTCAGAGTCCAGATAAGTAGCGCGACAATCGCTTTAAGTCCTCTCAATTTCGTAAACACTCCGCCGCGGCGAGAAGGCAGTATGACTTTCCTGGCAGTAGCCGTATACGCGAGGCTATGCGAGCATGCTCGGCGTACCAGGGCATTTAATGATGTTTGAATTATTAGATCAACCAGTTTCAATGCGTTTGTACTTGATACTTTGCAGTCTCCCATTCTCCCATAACTCGAACTCCCTTCAGAGTCTGCTTTTTGATCAAAAGTCAGCTAATATTAACCTATTCCGATTTTTTAGAATTATTATTCAGCTATTATTGGTCGTTCCACGTTTTTTATTGCTTCATATCTGTTAAGGAGAACAATTATGTCTAATATTTCTGATCCGTAAATTATTTACATCCTCCCATTCTTCTCTAGTCTCTTGGTCATCACGCAACCTCCTTGTGAAACTTGCAATTTCCGAACATTTTGTGGTGCAATCTCTTTCTTTTCTTCTATAGACTAATATATTTGTGAAATCACTATACGATTGTAGATTTATTAAATGGTATGGTTGAGAAGAAAATGTTTTTCGCTGCGTTGTTTCTAATTCTTCTCTTCAATTAAATAATGGATTGCTTAATTAATTATCTTTTATCATAATTACGATCTTAGAAACTATCATGTATAATTTTAAATTATGTACTCAACATGAACTTGGTGATTCTTTCCAATAATCAATACCCAGGTATGACTAGGAAACCAAGGGAGAATTAATTAGAAAGTGTGGAGACGGCTCAAGTTGTATATGGTATAGCAAAACATCCATGTTCTAGATATAATAGAGAGAATATTCTTCACTCACACTTTTTTAAATATTTAATAATTTATTTGCATTATTTCCAAAACTTATAGAACAACTTACGTATTTTAATATGACGACTTCGAGACCCATTGGATTTGTCAGTTGTAGATGTTGATAATGAAGTAGTATGACAACTGGCAGATATATTATGAGTATGTGTAGGCGGTTTTTGATCACGCAATGCACTTACATTTGGTGATGATGGTATTCTATTACATTCTTCTTAATTAAAAGAAAAAATTATATAAAAGATAATTTGTGGTAATTTTATCTATCGAGTGAAGCAAAATAACGCAAAGTATTCGAAAGAAATAGATAAAACTTCTATTCTTATTATGTCTGTGCTAATATTATTTACAATTTTATTGTCCTAATAATAGTCCATATTCGTAACGTGTTTAACTTACACCAAATAATGTTTATCAATCTATGGATTGAGTTTTATTCAATCAGACTTAGTGAAGGGCTGCGAAGAATCTATCGAATTTCCATACTTCATGATATAACATATCTAAAAGAATGTGCATTTGGAAAATTGATAGTCCGAAGTCTTGAAAACCTAACCGAAATTCTGTAAATTTCATTTCAAACTGATTACATCAGCTTTTTTCAAGAGAGTCATTTAGATGCATTATTTCTCTTTGCTGTAAAATCGTTTTAAACACGTATATTCATCGGTTTTCTTTGAGTGTCAACTCGTAATCGATTTGAGACCAATATGAATACACAGATATCTTCATCCTTGAGTTTAGCTTTACTAAATAGCAAGTGATGTGTAATAATAGGAGAGATGAGAAAATATTAATCTTTTCAATAGGGGACATAAGAATTTAAATACTGGCACATTTGATTTACCTTGTGATGTTTCTGACTTTTTACAAGAACCATCATCATTTGGATTCGATAGGGAAGTGTCATCATATAGAATGTTTAGTCTTTCTTTTTCACCAATACATTTTGCACCAGATATATTCTCAGTTGTAACAGCTGACTCATTATCCTTAAAACTGAAAAAAGAAACAACAAAAACGTGCTAGTGTAATTATGCAAATAAATGAACGCAGATTTAATAAATTTACAAAAAGACCCATACAGATGAACAAGTTCTCACACTTAGCTTTTCAATATCATGCCCCCCCCCAATTATTTATACAAGGCAAACAACGGTGTGACTAAAGAAAATATTGTTTTCCTGTATAGTTATGTGTTCATCGTACATGACTTTAATGTTTATCGACCGACTTTTTGATGTTTAAAATGCCACTCATTTTTCTAACATCTCTTGACAAAGTAATTACATTCATATTAGGTAGTATCAGTCGTTTTCGATCTAAAATTAAACAGAATGTCCTAAAATCAAAAGTCCAAAGGTGAAGTTGCATATTCACAAAGGATGCAGAATTTCTCTGTCATTTATAGTATAGGACCATGATTTATTTAACAGTTCATTAACATAACAGAAATGTGCTAATCTGTCACCAAATGGCAACCACTATGAATTTCTATAATCTTCAGCCCTGATCGAATCTAATGAATCATATTTAAAAAGTACACATTAAACTAAGAAACGCAATATTGTTTAACTGATCTCGAATATTTCTATCAACTACCTTTAACTATCCTGGTTTTTGTCAGTTTCAATAAAAAGTAAATGTGGATAATACATGAAATGTAACACTAATATTATTTCAAGTGTTAGAACTCATTCAAAGTTCCATCAATGCTATTAAGGAGTGTCACCTAGAGATAAAAGCACTTGAATCAAAACACTGATAATCTAATTCAGAGTATTTGGATAGTATCATACATAAACAATACTGTTTTGAATTTGCGTACATAAATCTACCCGTGATACATGGGGTTTCGTAAACTTCTATATAAATTATTACTGTTTATAGAACTGGGATTGTCATTAAAAATTTCTAGTTAGTAGGAAAGAAATTGTTTTTGAAGCTTGAACAAGAATCTTTTTGAAAAATAGACCATTAAACGTACTTAGAAAGAGCAGCCTGACCTAGCTGAACATCAGAACTGTGCTGCAGTGAGCCTTGAAGGGTAAAATGTAAATCCACTAACTTTCTTTCGTATTCTCGTGTACTAATAACATATGAAAATTAAAAAGAAACATTTAGAAAAAAGGAATTAATAAAATAAGTACTCATTTTTCCTTGATTATGGATATTATACAGTACGTAGTTAATTTATATTAAATGAATACGGGTCTAATAGAATAACTTCATTCAATGTATCAAGAATACTGATCTGTACATAAGATATGATTATAACTTAAAACTGTTAATAAAATCAAACTGCAACATAACTGATGAACTTAATTTAAGATAAGAGGATACTGAAGCAGTAACGTAATGATTCGCAAATACTACGTTGACGTCTGAAAATTTAGTCCTTCAAAGTTTAGTCCAAGCACTCTCGTAGTACCACTCCACTCCTTACAGCGAAAATGAAGTTGTAATCTGAGGATATAAAGCAGTACACAGCCAATAACTTAGAAAGAGATGGTTATCCACTGCAGACAATGCATAGGAGCTGAGTAAAATCATGAACTGATTGAAGTTAGATCCTGATTCAAAGGTCTAAAGGTTAAGCAGTCGCATGCACTACTGAAGGTCCAGAATGATTACCCATGAGTCCCACATTAGAACGAAACAGCTTTTCAGTCCGTCCAGACTCTTAATGGTGATTTAACTAAGATCAGCTGGTGAATAGAACTATAAAAATTCTAAAATCTCCGAAATTTCCTCGATAATTATAGAATCTGTCATGACGATAGAGTTGCATGCTTGAGTTTAACTACGTATTAAAGATATATATATATATATATATATATATATATATATATATATATATATATATATATATATATATATATATGTCTATTTTTATGTAGACGCATATCTAGCTATTTAGATATTAGATTATGTAAAGACAATTTTATGAATACAGTCTTTATTCTTCTTGTGTAAACTCGAGTACAAGTGTAGATGATTTCCAAATACGAATACTAGTTTATATGAGTTACTGTAAACTATATTGCTATATTCAAAACCTACGTCAAAGCAAAAGCTATAATTGAAGTAAATTCTCGATCATTAACATAAACATCTGGATGTGCAAGCAATAATTGACAGAGAGACTCAGACAGTCGACTATAATCACAACTGTTCATTTTGATTTCATTTGATTTATTGAGAGTAGTTTCAATACGTTTTAAAATGTTAATGCAACTTTCATCACATATGGTCAGTTGAGGATGTTCGTGAGGTGGGACCGGTTCGCCAAATACTTTTAAATCCATAGCTGATGGTAAAAAGTTATGAATAAAGCGACGCACACCAGAAGAGGAAGAATTATTCGTAATTGAGATTTCGTTTTGGATAGGATGAGTTGAAGATTCAGTTTTGTTCGATTGATTTTGAGAAGAGGATTCAGCATTGAAGATTTCCGGACCACGTCGTTGGTAAACAGCTGAAATATGCATATAGGTTAAGATTATTATGAAACATAACGGTATTATCACAGAAAGATTATTTTTTCTGATATTACCGAAAGTTGATTACAGGGATGATTTGCACGCTCAGCTAAGTTAAATACAATATTATCAATTAAAAGAAGAGTGTACTGATGGCAAACATTTAATAATGTGTACAGAATTATTTGCATTAAAGGTCATGGGACTTTGTTTTCAGTCAAGCGAACTATTAAGCATAAAAAAATTCGTATGATTAAGCTTCAATTTGACGACAGTAGACAAAAGAATACCTTATAAGCAAAATAATTCTCATCCAAGAGTATGTTAAAAGTATGTACGTTACATGGCAATGAGAATACGACTAAAAATCGTACGGAAAAACACATAATAATTATTTATCCAGTAAATATTACTGTCCAATAATATAATTTTAACAACAGTTTCTCATCATCTATCTACAGATGAATAGCTTGTTATATTGTATTTATAAGTCAACGCTGAATTATACAGTATATAAGACAAAAACAATGGTCACAGTATATCATACAGACAAACCAATCACATTTAAAATAGTAGCTCTGTGGCTTTTGTCCAAGATTCAAAATGGGATGCCAGATAGCTTGTAAATCATTCATATCCAAGTAAACTTACTAGTTTTTATCTATCAAAAGGTTTAAATAGCATAAACACGGCAAGAATAAACAATACGAACAAACTTGAATAACTATTAAAATAATATTTACAAAGTGCACAGCTTTTTACGGAAAAACTAAAAGAAAGTAAACAGAGTTGAGAAGTGTGTAATGTTGCAAGATTTCTGAATTTCCTACGATAACCCTAACACTAAAACTTAACCTTTTTTGGTTTTCTGTAATGACTTATTCATCAGTATCACGTGCATTCTGATTGGCCCATAAATAGACACGAACCCTGAAATCTGTCTCAAAACTGTTTAAGGTCGTCAATATGATGTATTTTCACCAGATCAAGAATTAAACACGAAACAGAGAAATACCTTTTAAATTTAAAGGATCCAAGATAGGTAAATTCTTAGACAAATCAGAAACATAATTATCTTCTGTATGTTGGCTTGAATCATGGTTAATGCTATCATGAAATGAATTGAAACCAGACTTAAAAGAATCAAGTCTTGAGGTGTTTTCAATAGACTTGTACATTTCACTGTCTTTTTTTATGGAGTGAACTAGAAGTTCTGGTTGACTGACTGTTAACACATTATTTAATGGTGTTTTTGAATTAACTGAAATGTTATTACTTAAATCAATTCCAGTTAAAAATTTGTCCGTATTTTGATCTATAGAATTAAAGTAAACAGTTTGAGATGTTGATACTTCGATGGGTAGATTGGAAGAAGACAGATTTGTAATCATATCATTGTTGTGTTCAAATGATTTTGTAGAATCTAGCAGATTGTTTGCACTCTTTGAACTAGTTATGATACTACTAACGGGTAATGGTGTTGTTATTGGTGGTGGTAGTGATACGGAAGTTGTAACCGTTACTTGAGAAGGAACTGAAGGAGAAAGAAGATTCGGTGATGGGTGAAGAGACGAATTAGCAACTGTTGTAGAAATATACGACAATGTCGGCTTTTTCCGTTTGTCGCGTATATTTTTTTCAATTCGTTTCATTAATAATTCATATTCATTAAATCTAAACATTCCATAACAGAAAATAAGTAAAAAAAATATATTTAAGATAACATACCACTACGGTTATTATTGTTGGTGAAGAGTTGCAATTATTATAATAAACCATCTCTAATCTATTGGAAAATTTGAAGATAATTACAGTAACTATATAAAGGTTCTTGAAGTAATCTTTGAATAACATGTTATTCAAAAGCTGTATATGGTAGCCAGTAGACTAAACGGATGTGAGGAGAAAATTTGGACCCGGAAACTTATTTTTTTATTTGTTTTATTTGAACACATAAATACTGGTAAAAGAAGGCGCCGGATACATGTGTGCCACATAAATCTCATTCGATTTGTGTGAGGGCTGTGATACTGCCCTGTTGCTCAAACCGAAGCAGGTGGTTTTCTTAGGGGACCACACCTAGAGCCTTCAACCTAAAGGTCTGATCCACAAGGCAGTGGAGGAACGTCAGGAGATGCAGTCCCATGGTAGCCGGTGACCAACAATTGGTTCATACACCATTTGTTCCTTCAGGAAACTGGAGCCCATGTGCACCATTGGTTTGGAATCAGGGTTTTCCAACTCCTCTAGGTGCATTCTCCGTGTCCACCAACCCGTTTAAAGCGCCAGACATCCGCTTGTCGTCCTCTCAATTTCGTAAACAACACCCTCGCCACGAGAAGGCAGTGAGTAGGACTTCCCTGGAAGAGGCTATATACGCGTGACCGTGTGAGAGCATTTTGAGAGGGAGAGCTGACTCTCCCCACTCTCGACCATGCCAGGGCATTCGGAGGCCTTAAATGAGTAGGAAATTCACAGACCTAGAGTGCTGGGTTTCAATTCAATGGATAAATAATAGCTTATTATTCAGGAGCCTAGATAACTTTCTGTGGTGTGATAGCCATATACTAGTGAGGAGCCTCTAAACTAGGATGAAAAAAATGTGTTGATGGTCCGGCCTGATAAATATTGGTTGGTTTGTGATGGGAATAATTCTTAAAATCATAATCACTTTTTTAGAAAAAAGCATATGATCGGGACTGTAAAAAATTTACTACGATAGCACTATACGATAGTTCGGAAATAGAGTAAAAAGTATTTACGTATTCCATGCAAAGAACAAACCTGAAATTCCAATCCGAAATAAATCGATACATCCAACGTTTCAATTCATTAATTAATCTTTGTACAATTAAGGCCTGTTCAACTGAAAATGAGAACATAAATTAAAAAGCGAAAATTAACCTTTGTAGTTATGAACTGAGTGAGTAACATTTTAATTGTATGAAATTTTGCGTAAACATGAACCTATTAATTCCAGCTGTCACATAAGTGAAATAGAAGGAAAGATCAAATATACGATTTTACGAAGTGATACTGCTTCTTCATTTGGGCACAATTAATTGTAGGTCAGGAAGACTCAAGCATTCCAAAGGTTGTTGACTTGTCGTATATTTTAAGTCACCAGAGCACCTCAGATAGTGCACCAATAACATTTAAACAACTGTTCATGAACAGAGGATATTATTTGTTCAACCGGTAATCACATGCTTCACTGAAGTAAGAGGTAGGAACTATTAAATAAACAAAACTCAAGTGCATAAATGACTAATTTGATAAAAAATAAAAACCATCAGTAATTAAGTATTTGAAACAATTGCACATTCACTAAAAATGAAGAAGCAAAGTATTTAAACTGTTTACACAATAATCAGCTTTATTATATCAAATATACTTAACCACTGTTTAAACTAGAGATTAGTTTGAACCAATTATGACATTTGGTTTCATTTTGTGAAATATCACATCTTTGTTCAGCAGTTTCACTGGAGCCATAATGAACACTTGAAATGCTATTTGAATGAGTTCGAACACGTGACTGGATTGTAGTCGTACAAAAGATTTTTTCATCCGTAGTTATTGTTTGCTTATCAGGTGTGGATATTTTTTCATTTTCTACAGTATTTGATTCAGAATCATCTTCTACAGGCTTTGCAAGAGGGCCTAGACTATGTGATATACCCGCTGGTATGTCTTCAACATACTGTTTATTAGAAAACCTTTCCTTTTGACTGCTGTCACTCGGATGTAGAATGAAATCCAAAATTTCCGATCTTTCATCCATTAGTATACGAGTGGAATCACACTATGAGGGACAAAAGCATAATGAAAACAAAATTAACACAAACTACAATACGTAGAGAGGATAGTTCAGTAAATATTACAGAAAAATAATCGATCGACCAATCGAAAAAGTGCCATAGCTAAGCCGACTCAACGAATTTGACTACAAACTAAAAAATGTTAATTACTAATACAAAAAAAGTCAGTTGATTGCCGACTGTCGCCCCCGTAACATTAAACCACTTAAAGTAAAGACATCCCATACCTCCTCAATAATAATATTTCTTTTATCAATTTAAAGAACAAGTATTTATATATGAAGAAGATTTTCATATGTAAGGTGGTTGGATGCATTTAACAGGAAATTCTGGACCTAGACTGTGGGATGGTTGGTACTCGTCAGCAAAGTATATATACAATCATGAGAAGATATTCCTATGGGACTCGGATCCCGCTACTGACCAATTGTGAAAATAAGATATTTATCAGTGGTGCGCAAAGCTCAGTGGTAGGTAACGTCTCAGAATATGAAGCTAGGTCACGCAAATTTGAACCCCACAAGCAGCATTGGTTCCTTCAAGATTGCAGGTGCGTTTTGCTGAAGAGTGCATATCACGAAACTCAGATCTCGAGGTTTACCATCAACTATCTCCAAACACCCAGCATCTCAACACAGTCCACACGATGGGCATATTGTAACCTGATCAAGCAAATATGGCACTGACTACCACTACACAGTGATCAATTAATTTTAAAATGTCACAAGAACTTTACCATTAGATTTGTTATTCAGCGTAGAATTTTGTTTTGAAAGAGAAAAACAAGTACATTCATATTTAACTTGAGTTTGAATAGGTATTTCAGCATGTTCAGCCCGATACATAAAATTGTGTCTGAATGAATGATACTTACTCTTCCTTAATGAAAGGGGTTCAGTTCACGTTTTATCCAATACATGAAAATGCATATAAATACAAAAGCTCATGATGCCATAATTATACCGCAAAAAGGAATTTTAAAAATGGACTAGAAAATAATCAAGATTCTTACTTCAAGAACTTTTAGATAGGCCTCGAGCATAGCGGACAGTTCGCAAGATATTTTCTCATTTTGTTGATTGGCAATATGACATTTAATTACAGTATTTATAGTGTAATACCTAAGAAGGAAAGGGAAACAGTGCAATGCAATACATGGATTTATTTTACAAATAATAATATGCGGATAGGATAACAACTTGAGGACAGAACGAATTTCCAGCTACTTAAAATTAGAAGTAATTACATGAATCTCAAACCACACTTGGTGCCGAACACTTCGGCAGACGAAGTAAATGCCTAAAATACATTTTCATCATTCGTCCAAATGCAACCAGGGTACTGGAATTCGATAATTTATTACGTGAAGAATGCATGTCAGTACAATAAAAAAAACCGACTATTTTCAGCGAATATCAACACAAATTTAACAAATGAACTAGGAGGATGTTCACAGAACGAATCTCTTGAAATTTTTTTATATATCTTGCAGATACGCTGAAGTCAGTAATTATTGATATAGAGTGTTGAACGAGAAGTTTTACTCATTTTTATAGGAATGTAGTGCTCATTTACATGAAATTTGCAATTACTATTGTTTTGGAATTATTCAACCCACATACAAGTGAATATTCTAAGGTGTGACACTGATTTTAGTGGAGGCTGAAAATAATACTAAACTGACCATGTGACCATGTATAAAAACTCAAGTCTGGAATCAAAGGATTAGAAATTGAATTTCTTAATCATTAAACTATCTGAGCTTAGAGTAAACATTTATTAGTATACCTTTAAACAGTTTTTAAAAAAATACCGGTAGTTGGTCGACTTGACACAAAATGACTATCATATTTCAGCATAGTCTACTCTTATTTCATTATTCTTATAAGATTGTTTCACCGTTGTAACAAACGCTAATAAAATAATGAACACCTACTTTGTTAAAACATCGGAAGCTTCAGCGTACAGATAACTTGGTAGGTGAGATGTTTTCTGCAGGTTAGTAACTTTGTGATGATTTGACTGACTATGAAACTTGGTAGCAGTAGCGGTAGTATGGTCTGTACTATCCGTGCAGTAACCATCTTCCAAATCATTTGTGTTCATGTCACTTGCAGCAGTTGGTTTTTTCATAGTTAACATGCGGGTACTTTCGGACTTCGAATTATTGACTTTCACCGGGAAAACACGAATCTCATTTGGAGGCATAACAATCTCATAAACATTAACCGGTTGATATCTGTAGTAGGAAGCAAAATAACTTATGAGAGGATCAATATCATATATCAAGGTAAGGTGGATAGTTGAGGGTAAAATATACATTATTATGAGGCTAAAAACTAAACTATATAGCAGAAATTTCAATATATTAATTGATTGTCGGTTATTATCACTGACTTTGCTTTCTATGTCCATCTTGCAGCCCTTCGTTGACATCGAGAACTTGGCAAACATCACAGCAAATTCGGTAATTTCGGTTTCTGGCAAAACAACAGTCATCATCAGGGGACGAACGATTTATCATTTGTATTAACATCACAGGCGACGTCTACGAGTTTACTGACAAATCGGCTGATTCCGAAGGCAGCATCATTATTAGTTTCGGTTCGAAAATCATGTGCTTCTTTAATATTATTTTGATTTCATACAATCCAGACTGATATTTATTCAACCCTCGAAAGGTTACGCAACTGACGTCCTGTCTATTCTACATTTAACTTCACAAGTATTTTGACATACACTTCATGTTCTTCAAAATTTTAATCTTCTGAATTCCTGTCCCTTTCGTTTTTCTCTTTCTACATTTATTTCACTGGATTATACTGCTTGAATAACATCTTCAAACCCTAATCTTTCCTATTACTGTTTATACTTCTACTATCTCAACCATTATCAGTCAGTTAGCTACAACGTAGGACCAGGCACATATGTGCATCGGTCCAGGTTGCCATACCTCATTAGCACAGCAAGATGAACAGCGGATTCATAGGAGTGGTTAGGTCAAAGGTTGCAATAAGGATATAGTATAGGAAGAAAGAATTAGTTCGTAGACAGAAAGAATGAAGTGATTTTAGTCTCTTAGTTTAAAAGAAGACAGGGAGTGTATACACCGACGCCATTGTGATCGATTCTGAGCCATGTCACCAAGAGTCTCCAACCATTGGTTACGAAAGTCACGCGGACCCCAACCAAGTAGTCTGCATCTACCAACATGGCTCAGACTAGAAGTTAGTGACTTCAGGTACTGATGCCACGTTTTGGTTTGGCCGCCCCTAACTTTCTTCCAACCATCCCCTACACCGGTTAGCATTGCACGTCGTGGTAATCGGTGTTCAGGCATACGTAATACGTGGCCCAACCATCTCAGTCGATGAAGATTCATAACCTCATCAACGGATTTACCATCATTCCCTAATACCCTGCGTCTAACCTCAATATTACTTACCCGGTGATCCCAGCAGATGCCAGCAATATTTCTAAGGCATCTGTGGTCAAATACTAGTAGCTTACGGGTGTCTTCTACTCTTAAGGGCCATGTTTCGCTGCCGTAAAGTAAAACAGAACGAACTGCCGCGCAGTATACTTGTCCTTTTATTGATAGACGGATATCTCGCCTTCGCCAAAGATGACGTAAGTTGGCAAAAGCCAAACGAGCTTTTCGAATCCGTGCTGAGATTTCGTCAGACACCAACCCATTAGGGCTAATCAGACTTCCAAGATAAGTGAAGTTGTCAACGCGTTCAACTACTTCACTCCCTATCCTTAGTTCAGGTGTTGACCCAGACCAGTCCTGAAGCAACAACTTGCATTTAGAGGGAGAGAAGCGCATCCCAAACATTCTGGCATTGTTGCTTAGTGCTGCCAGAAGACTCTGCATTTTGTCAGCGTCTTCACCAAACAGGACTATGTCATCTGCGTATTCTAAGTCGATAAGTGGACCTCCTGGAAGGAGATCAATACCCGAGAATTCAGTCGACGAGAGTGTTATTTCCATCAATAGGTCTATGATGAAGTTAAACAGAAATGGAGAAAGTGGACAGCCTTGACGGACACCACTTGAGGTTGCAAAAGTAGATGACAGTTCGCCATAAGCCCTGACTCGACTAGTAGTGTTCGAGTAAAGAGCCTTCACAAGGTTTATGTACTTCTGAGGTACGCCTTTCAATGACAGACACTGCCACAGAGTCTCGCGGTCTACCGAGTCAAATGCTGCTTTTAAGTCGAGAAATACCACCATTGTCGGACGCCGATAGGTATGCCTGTGTTCTAGAACCTGACGAATGGTGAATATGTGGTCGATGCAGCCACGACCAGGTCTAAAGCCAGCTTGGTTCTCTCGAGTTTGTAGTTCGCGAGTCTTAGTTAGGCGTTTGATAATTATCGAGGCCAGTATTTTAGATACTATGTTTGTTAAACTAATCCCTCTGTGGTTGTCACAGGATGATTTTGACCCTTTCTTATATATTGGGACGATAAGTGATTGCGACCAGTCAAATGTGATTACGTCCGACTCCCAGATCTTAGCTAAAATATTAGTCAACCTAATGGCTAAATTGGACCACCATCCTTAAAGACCTCTGGAGCCAATCCATCTGGACCAGCTGCCCTTCCTCGTTTCAGATTAACTATAGTCTTTTGAACTTCAGCAAGAGTTGGGGGACCTACTTCAATGTTCCATTCACACTGTCTGGGAATGGAGGGTAGTTGTAGAGTAGCTGAAGGCCACCTGAACTGTTCCCTAAAGTGTTCCGCCCATCGTTCTAAACGCCTGGACTTGGAGCAGATGAGTGTATCGTCTTTTTCCGATATAATCTCACTTACACTTGACTTATTAATTCCAGTTTCTTTTATTAGTCTGTAAAGCTGTCTTGTGTTCCCTATAGTCGCCGCCTTTTCCATCTCTTTTGCTTTCGATGCCCACCACTGCTCACGGTCGTTTCTTAGACTTTTTCTTAACCTAGATCTGATTTGTTTTCGCTCTTCATCACGTTCAGAACCTGATGGGACGAGTTTGCGAGAATCCATCAGTGTGACAGACCTTGAAGAAATCCACTGGTTCCTTACAACTCTGTGGTTTAAGTCACTAATAGATGTCACTGCTGTTTCCACAGCTGAATGTATGCCCTTCCAAGCAACATCTGGGTCAGCCTCGTCTTCACAACTACCTAAGTGTGACCTCAGTTGTTCCTGGAACCTACTTCTGGTTTTCTCGTTACTTAACTCAGTTCTAACGGGTCTTTTTAATGTGGCTTTTTTGCGTCCAGTGAGGCGCAAGCAGATGCGTGCCCGTATTAGGGCATGGTCGGAGTCCAAGCAGGTACTCCAGAATGAGGGACAATCTTCTACAGACCCTCTCCAACGATGACGGATGGCAATATGGTCTATTTGAGTCCATCGTTGGTTTGGTGTAGGGGGTCGCCATGTTAGACGATGTCTCTCCTTATGCTTAAAATTTGTGTTTGCTAAAAATAAACGATTGTCTGAGCATAGCTGCAGCAGACGATCACCATTATCTGTTCGCTGTGTCGGAATACTAAAATATCCACCTAAATGCCTTTCTGTTTGGCTTAAACTGCCTATCTGAGCATTAAAATCACCTGCTACGAGTACTATGTCTGAGCGTTTAGCTTTCTGAAGAAGTTCGGACAGCTTTCTGTAAAATTCATCTTTCACATCATCTGAGCTGCAGTCAGTGGGAGCGTAGGCAGAAACGACAAAAAGGCAACGACGTGTGTTCCTATCCTTCCGAGTTCTTACGTAGCCGTTCAGCCGAACAGCACATAGACGACTGTTGACGGGGATCCACTCTAGCAGTGCTTGTTCCGCCCTCATGCTTAGTGCTATGCCTACACCTGCCAGTCCACGAGAACTTGCCATCGGGTCACCAGATACACGAAGGGTGTACCTCGTTGGCTCTCCGTTTTGCCGAGGTGAGGTCAAGTGAATGACCACACTGGAATCCTGTATGCGTGTTTCGGAGACACAGCACACGTCAATGGTAAGAGACTCTAGGGTTTTAGCCAAGGAAGCCTGCTGATCGATTTGACATAGGGTTCGTACGTTGAAGGCTCCAATGTGTAGTTTGGAGCGAGGTTTCAGTAGACCTGGGACAGTATTTTGCGCACTAGAATCGTTGGCTATGGTGACACTTGAGGTGGAAGCCGAGAGAGGAAATTTAAAGGTGAAAGTCGATGTAGGAGGAATAATAGGAATTGAAGAGGAAGGTTGATTATGAATACAGTGGTCTTGAGTGCTGTTAGAGGTATGAGGGCGGTTTTCACTTCCCGGTTGCCCACACCGTGGAAGGGTTGTTCTGGGGGTACTTGAAAAGGAATTTGGATTAAAGGTGGTCTTAGTGACCTGAGAGCGTGACCGCAGTGCCCAAGGGACAACTGCTTGAGGTCGGTCACACACGACCTTTTTATGGGCAATTTTTGTGTTAGCTCCGTACTTATTGAGACCTTACCGCCAGAGACAGATATCCGTGGGATAAGGCGAGGTGTGCATTTTTAGGGTCGACCTTTTCTAACCCCACCCCTCCTTGTGGGAAGGCAGCATTGCTGTCATGCTGGTTGTCTGAAGGAAACACCGTACTGCTGTCACACCTCTGTACAGTCAGCAGTACGACTTCGCCTTCGGACCTTGGGTTTGTTGCTTTTAGTCTTACCGCTCTTCAACCGACCTGTCTGACATGGTAGGACCTTGAGGAACGGTTGTTCCAGCCAGTATAGCTCGGTTGCTTCATCACGATAGGCAAGCCCGACCACCACGTCAAGGTAGCAACAACGGTCGGGGTATGGCAACTTGAACTGATGTACGCACGTACAAAGTTGTACGGTGTTGCTGGCTGACTGACTGAGGCAAGTACTAATGTGGCAACCATCATTGGAATTAGGGTTAAAACTTTCATAAACATGGTCTATAGAGAATCACAATCGCCCTTAACTAGACCCATACGAATTTGTTGTCTGTGCATGAAGTGATTTTCGAAGCACAGCTTCTTCAGTATTTTCTGACAGCAGTTTTTCCATTAAAATCCATATATCGGAGAGTATCAGAGTTTGGGAAGAAGCTAAGTTGTCAGTATTTAAAGGATTCACAATGCTATACGTATCGTAAAGAGAGTTCGATCTAGATATCCGGCCATCACTATTTGATGATTAATAACGTTTGTTGATTGCTTAAGTACTTGAAGATGACCTAAATTTATAATACAATACTTCGAATCTTCCGATTGATGACTAGGACTGCAATTGATTAGTCTGTTATTGGTATCCTGTGCAGATAGTCTCGATACCGTCTAGAATCAAAAGCATTATAAACAGAGATGAATAGTAGTTAGAAGTGTAATCCAGGACGTGCGTTTCGTCCTGCTTAGAACTCATCAGCTGAATATACCCGCATCCATCTCTCCTTATAATGCTTGTGACTTAAGGCAATTACGAGACTGTCCGCACAGGATGTCAATAACAGAATAATCAATTGCAGTCTTATACATCAGTAGTAAGATGCCAACGAAAAGTGCGAAAATGAATTAAATTTCATCTCATTGCACAAGCTAATGATTATCAGGACTCAGCACCTAAGTGGATAACGTGGTGACGTTTGAAGAGAACGGTATTGAGTTCGAGTCTCAGAGTGAACAACTCTGGAACGCGGGCACATCCAGCTGACCAGTCTCAAAACGGACAAAACGAGAGTCTTGAATCCCACTGTTAGCCACCATCCGTTTCTGCTTATAATTAAATCTGAGACTTTATAAAGTGCTGACGACCCCATAAAAGTATGAAAATGCAAAAAAATATAACTGTAACTAACACAATCATGTTTGCGGCAGAAAAAATAAATCTTCATAATCAAATGAGCAAAATAATGACTAAATTAAAATAACCTTCAATTTTTAACATTAATTGACTAAATATTCGTACAAACATTTAACCAGTTACTTACTTAAAAATAGCTAATTTCCGATCAAAAGCAAAGCAATGTTCTAAAGATTTATAAACAGAATGTGGGCACTGGAATTGTAATATTGGACTCATAGTTTGACTGTCGATTCCATGTCTTACTGAATTAAGTGATGGTTCATTAGACGCATCAGTTGTGTTCACCTCATTGACTGTATCATCCAAGTTTTTATTGAATAGACCACAATAAGCCCAATTATCAGAACTATTTATTATTAAATCAAGAAATTTTACAAAAGACAAATGCCAAGTATCAGCAGACATATGTTTAATAGGTGAATTAATACGACATATTGGACAGAATAACCACATTTGTATACGACAATGACGACGATATTTTGCATCATTACTACCTAGATTTGGTATATCTGATAAGACTTCTGATCGAGGTGGATCTTGAATCAATTTACGAATCATAAGTTGTACTGATCCTGAAGTTTGAATAAATCTTTGAATATGATCAGCCATTACTACATTACAAAGTGGATTACGGCAATGTTGTTGCCTAAAAAATATCAAAAAGAACATAATAATTATGCTTTATCGAAAAAACCCAAACGAAAAGCACTTGATATCAATTACAACAGACATATTGTAGCCAGTCGTCGGAAACAATGTGTTTTTTTTTAATTCTGGGCTCGCTCGAATTAGATATGAATACACGAGTTTTCTTTATGCTGACCCAACCTGATATGTGACTGAGAGTGATGGGAAATCGCTAAGAAGCTGTATTCTGCAAGCTGAATGACGTGTACACGAGTCGAAGTTATATATACATCCGTCCTTTTGAGTTGAACAAAAAAATAGACTACGACCTTGACTAAGTACATAATCGGGATCAGTTTGAAAGCGTTATTTTGAAATATAGATTTTATTCAGTTTAGTGGGAATAAAATTTAATCTTAATGTAGAAAAAGTTTTAAAAAGTTACCTTCTGCAAAATATAATAACTCTAATCTAGTTACACTGTAATAATACCAACACTACTTAAAGATAAAGCTTACATGAAACAAAATTTCTCCAAAAATAATCCTAATGGCAAATCATTTGAACCGTAAAATTCCACTGTAGCTATCAAAGGTGGAACACATGGTTCTGGTCGCATAATACATTTTGTTGTAAATAATATTGCAAGAAAACTCAAAGATTGATATGAACGTGGATCTAGAATGCTTCTTCTTAGACGCTATTCATTAATGATACAAAATAAATAAACAAAATATTATTTTCAAATTATGTTTTTTTTCTAATGAAAGTAATCCTGATAAGTATCCTGTGTATCTTTTCATATATATGATTCTTATTAAATAGTTATAAAATGTGTGTAAAACCAGCACATAAATGAGTGTATTTGGTTTAATGACGTTGAGTTTTTGAAAAGTCAATAAATCTTCATTATTACCAGTCTTGGTGTTTCCACTTCACATCATGGGAATTGCAAGGATTCTTGTTTCCAAGTATAAAAAGTAGGACTTCTGGTAACGCATTCGATTGAAAATTTTAAATTATATACCTTACAATAATTTGTAATAAAACTAATGTATGCAACCAATTGTTTTCTTTCAAATCTTACACCTTATTATTTTATACATTAGACACCTTTTTCTGTATAACAATTTGCCCTTACATTTCCGTTTTTACTTATCTTTCAGTTTTGGCATCAAAAAATGCAACTCGATGTACGAGGAATAATAGGAGTTGAAGAGGGAGGTTGATTATGAATAGAGTGGTCTTGAGTGCTGTTAGAGGTATGAGGGCAGTTATCACTTCCCCGTTGCCCACAAAAGGAAGGGTTCTTCTGGAGGTACCTAAAATGAAAATTGGATTAGAAGTGGTCTTACTGACCTGAGAAAGTGACTACAGCGCCCAAGGGACAACTGCTTGAGGTCGGTCACACACGACCTTTCTGTGGGTAATTTTCGTGTTAGCTCCGTACTTGTTGAGACTTTACCACCAGAGACGGATATCCGTGGTCGAGGTGTGCATTTTTCGGGTCGACCTTCTCTAACCCTATTCTTCCTTGTGGGAAGGCAGCATCTGAGAGAAAAACATTACTGCTGTCACACCTCTGTACAGTCAACAGTACGACTTCGCCTTCGGACCTTAGGTTTGTTGCTTTTAGTCTTACCGCTCTTCAACCGACCTGTCTGACATGGTAGGACCTTGAGGAACGGTTGTTCCAGTCAGTGTGACCCGATTGATTCATCACGATAGGCAAGCCCTACTACCACGTCAAAGTAGCAACAATAATCAGGATCAGATCCTCTGCATGATTTCTGTTTATTATTGAAAGAACAATTAATATAAGATTTTATAATTCCGTTCATATGCTTTTATAATGATTTAGAATAGTTCCTAACTGTTTACAGCAAATAAGCATCAATGGATTAGGTGATATTCTTTAGTCGAAGTTATTGTTGTTGTTTTACTTCACGTGTATAAGATTTTCGAAAGTAAAATGAACAGTAAAATCTTGACTAAGAATAAACTTTCATTTAAACACTCATTCTCGGAGCTATAGACATTCAACCATTAAAATTGTTTTTCAGGCTAACACAACTGAAACCTTAAGATAAGACAATTCATTGTAGCATCCTAAGAAAAAAGAAAAAGAAAATCCTAATATGCTTGAAAACAAACAAAGTTAATAAGCTTACTTTTACACTTTCAGATTCCGAGATAAGCTGCACATTAGAAGTGGGTGTAAAACCAGTAGTTGTAGTTGATGTTTTTGTAAGACCTGATTTAAATGATTTCAAATGTCTTGTATTAAATAAAGAATTCCAATGACCAGATAAAATACTGTTCATACCAGCCCAAAGACGTGGAAATGAACGACAACTTTCAACGTTCTGTTTATTATTATTGTTCATAAAACCCCTAGCTTTGTAATCAGTATACAAGGCTTCATCAGATGATGTTAATGTCTCAGAGATAATTAATCCATCCATTGCAAAATTATTTTTTCTAAAACTATCATTATTGTCACTGTTATCACTAAGAAAATATGGTAAAAGACGATGTAATTTTGAATTATGTAAAGTAGGCGATGAAAAAATTTCCAAATTACACTTTGTGAAAGGATGAGATGATTCGTTACTTGAAATATGTTTTGATGGATGATTATGTAATTTAGCACTCATCATGTAATATTTTAATGCTGTCAATTCACTATTTAAAATCTGTGGTAAAATCAACAAAATATTGGAAATACTAATTGTTATGTAAATAATAAAAAATGATATTAAATTTACACTGAATACTCATAACATATACCAATGTGATTAAAAAGAGGAAATTATGTTCGCAAAAATCTTTGAGCTTAACATTAAGATAAACCCCAAGTTTTGAGTTTCTTTAGAGAAATAATAAGAAATTCAATGAAGAAGCTCGAATCAGACTGCCAACTGAAACACTGAAGTTATTTTAATTCTAGTTGCTGAGATCTCTATAAATATGACATCTTTTTTTAAAGTCCTTCATTAACTTAAAGAACGACTGTTGTGAAAATATTAGTTCGAGAGTTTCTATAAAATGTTGTGCGTTCATAAAAAGAATATAGAACTGTAAAATCTTCTTTAAAATTTAAATTAGAGTCAATTAAAATGAATAATTACCTTTTCTTCTCACAAAATAAAAACTTGTGAATGCATCTTTATAATTGTTGTGAATCTATAAGCATCTTAAAAGATATAATAATGACCAAAGAAGAATGTGTAACAAATAAGAAGGATATTATTTGATGTACAGCCTCAATATGTACAGCAAAGAGAATTTTCAAGACACTTTAGATCTTAACATTTAGGAAAGTATACTCTACCATGGTTGTATAAAGCTTTAGTTTAGAGATGTAAAGTTATTATCACTGTGTTATGTCGGTTGTGAATAAATTTTGAAGGGGACAGCATAATATACGAAAACTAACTTATAATAGCTGAATGGTTTTCCTAGTTCTTCAGTGTTAGTGGAATTTGACTAGATAAAAGACGCTATACAGGACATTACCGATAAACATCACAACACATCAAATAAACATATGCCTAGTAATTAGCATTAACCAATCCAAAAAGAATGGTGTTAAAAATTTATCGAAACAAAATCATTTAACAAATAAGGCTTACTTTTTCTTTCCGTTTCATCAAATCATTCAGTCTACGTCCTAACGGCCAGTCAATTACGTAAGTATAATATGGGTATAAATAAGATAACTGGCCTTCTCTAGATGCTAAATAGGGTAAGCGAAATTCAACACTTGGTGAGACAGATAATAGACGTCCTTGAAGATATATCGCTAAATCAGAGCAGAGATTTTTGTCATCTTCATCGTTTGATATAGATGTTTGTTCGGTCGTCTATAGAGAAAAAAATGAATAAATGAAAAAAGCACAATGAACAGTATATAACTGAATATATAGTTTGGGGAAAACTACAGGCGCCAAGACGTGGAATCAGTCCATAGAATCAGCGACTGTTGGATTGAGACATATGAGTACGTACAAATTACCTGACTAAAAGTACGGGTAATAGCAGCATTTACTAGTTGGAGAAATTAGATGACATGATTTAAAAGTGGTTCCGATGGTATTAGTTTGCTATTTGTTTTTCATCAGATCTTGACTTTTAAATCTATTCCAAAATTTTTATTTATCAAATTCTTCCTCTGTGTTTAACTGATTCTACTAACACTGATATTCCTATGATTTGAACTACTCCGATACTTATTTTCGTAATTTTATCTCATTGTGCTGGTGAGTTATGGGAATTTTGATCGATGCACATCCGTATCTGGTTTTTAAATTACTTATGAGTCAGATAATAATAGCAGGAGTCTTTTGAATGACTGATGATAATTTATTTATTTATTTAAACACATAAACATTGACACAAAGAGGCACCAAATACATGTGCACAGCACTTCATGATTCGATTTGCTGGAATACTGCAAGGACGCTCAAACTAAAGCAGGCGGTTTTCTCAGGAGGCCACACACCGAACCTTTAACATAGAAGTCTAATCCATAGGTAGTGGAGAAACGTTAGATGTAGTACCATGGTAGTCGGTGACCACCACCAACCCGGTTAAAGCGCCGGATATTCGCTTTCTGTCCTCTCGATTTCGCAAACAACCCCCCCCACTGCGAGAAGACAGTGGAGCAGGACTTCCCTGGCAGTGGCTATATACGTGTGGCCATGGTAGAGCATTTCGGGAGGGAGAGCTGACTCTCCCAATCCTTGGTCGCAGCAGAGCATTTGGGAGGAATGATAACACCGACGCCAAAATAATTACTCAGAAAAATTATTACTATAGCAAGTAACCATGCTTCTTTTAGCTAACCATTTTATATATGAATTAACTAACTTTGTCTATCATAGTATTCAGCAGAACTTCAGGATATTTATGTGGTAGTAACCGATTATATTAGAATCATGCTCAATAAAAAGTAGTAAACTTACAGAGGAAATAGAAATAACTGAACCATTGGGGTCGGATAACGCTTTTTTTCTCGACACTGGAGAAGAAAGCGATGAATATTCGGCATCGTTTTGTAAACATATTTTATTTAGAGATTGTACACGTGATCTTGAATACGTATCCGTATTCAGTAACAAATGAGGAAGATGAAAAATATGATCATTGTTTGAATAAGCCAATTCTAACTGTGCATTATAGCACAAGCGTAATGTGAAAAGAAAACAACGTTTTGCACGGATAAGTGAAGCAAGATCGTTATCTCGTAGAATAACAGTCGCTTCATGAGTGATATACCGGATAGGATTAGAATCAAGCGCCAAACCAGTTTCGGTAGAATTATTTTTGATGAAAGTAAGAAATTTCGTGGAATCTGGCAAAACGAAGCAGTAAATGAAAGGAAAATACTATGAAAAGCATAAAATCCAGCGTGTGACATTTTTCAGACTAGGAAGCCTGTTGAAATTTCAAAAAGTTTAACAGTGTTACAAAATAAAACCCGAACCAAACATTCAAATATTTCATCAGGTTGCAACAAAATACTAACCTTCCATTATCTACGCTTTGAAATGCTAATAAAATTGAATATATTTTGATTGCGATAAGCGAAAAGATTGCAAACATTGAAGTATATCTACGATAAATACTATTACATTATATTGTAATTTACAAATAAAACCAGACGTAAAGCAGAAACTTTAAATTGTCATTTACGAAGTTCAAAAAATTGTATCTATCCAGATAACAAAATTGTTATGACTCTATGTCCGGCTTTTTATCACGTGATTTATCCACCAATCAAAATACGACTTATACAATCCTCGGACTGTGCCAAACCAATGACATTCGACTGGCATGAGCAGCCTAGCTTCGTTACTGGTTTTATGTCCGCCTAGCCCGTCCACTTGAGTCCACAACACCGAATACCAGCTTCCAATATGCGAAGCATATATTTCAAACATACTGTATTTATATATCAAACAAACAGACCTCAACGCACCATAAAATAGGAAATAATATTTGTACACAAAAAGTGGCTGTGAACGTGGGAGGCAGTAGTTAACAAACTGAGCATAATTTAGGGACAGTAAGTCGTATAATAATAAATTATAGGTCAAAATGAAGCTTATAATAAGGGGAATATGAATACACATGATTTAATTATTGAATAATTATACAATAAGAATATTTATAGAATATTAGTCCATTTATAGTCCTCGGAAGTTACCTGTAATTTAATCTTCACTAGGATATAACAAAAATAACTTGTTTCTAATGGTTTGTATTATCCCGTTACCGATAATTGGATTCAGTAACTAAACAGATAACACGTTGGCGTTTACAATCAACGATAATGAGTCCAAGTTTCGAAATGATCAAGTTTAGGACGCACATACATTCAGCCGAGCAGTCTCGAAGAGAACGAAAGGCGTGTACTGGATCCCACTGCTAGCCAAATAAAATCAATTTTATGTAACAAGAAATCTCTTTACATGGTGCTGTCACTTTCAGATTAGGAATATGATAAAGAATACAACACCGGAAATTCATTCCTTTTAGCTACCTAGTAGGTTTAGTAACGGGAAAATAACTAATCTACGACAGTAAAAACGTATTAGCTGAATAATCCATCTACAGTTTACAAAAGAAGCATTATACTGCTCTGTATAGACATCAATGGTTAGCACAGAATTTCGTTCAGATAGATTGATCACTGAATTCGTAAACGGTAGTTGATAATATTTGGTCTATTTTGAGATATAACTAAAAACAATCCAGTAGTTTGTTTTGGTTCAACATAAATGAATTAAATCACAGTTGATGTTTATATGATATATTTGCCTGCGATTCACTAGAGGACTTCGTCTTATATTGAGTTTATAAATACCAACACATTTCTTTAAAGGCTGATTTCAATGGGATTCCAAGGTCACTTTATAAGCTTAAGTAGTACAAAGAATTTAAAAAGTTATAAAATAAAGTATTTGATTAGGCAAAGAATACAGAAACTTACCATCTGGTAAATGTAATTGTCTAACTTCAAAATGATTACAAACACCAAGACGTGTTGTTGACTTTTGAGCATTATTATCTGATTTTCTTGAAGGATTGCTCATTAACCGATCAATCGAATCCAAGATATCAGCACCCGTCATTCGTGCAATACGGTACAACACCGACTATTAAAAAAAAGGATTAGACGTGTAAACCCAACGAACTGATTTATTCCCATTTTAACTGTCCCGAGAAAAAATGAGCGAGTCAAAGTAAAAGAAACAATAATGGGGAGTTCCTTTAATAGAGATCAACAGTATAGAAAGCTATACTTATTTGTTGAATGAACCACTTAAATTACAACAAGTAAACCGTTTATATTGTAAGAATCTCATTTACTGTTCAATATTTCGGTACAGAAATATATGCTTGGAAGGTATTCACTAAAGGGCGATGATATCAACATAACACCTGTACGGGAAGTTACTCAATAAAACTTTTTGAAACCTCGCCTGTAGCTCTTATAAATCTACTGTCAGTCCCAAGCCCAGGTAAAAGAGGAGTGTTGGATGTGGGGTTGGCAACCCCATTCCGTAGAAAACTTTGCTAAAAACGCTAACCAGAATAAACAGATTAAATCATTTAAACTCTGTCCTGGAAGTTGAAAGAAGAATCATGACGTCTCATGATGAAAGCCGCGATTCTTCGGAAATCACGAGGCCTATTCTTTTTTAACAACCAGAGTAACAATTATCATAGGTACACGGAACGTTCGGACAATGTGGGAGAGCGGAAAGACTAGTCAAATAGCAACGGAAATGAGGAGATACAACTTGGCAGTACTCGGAATCAGAGAAACCCATTTGATCCAAGCTGGAAAAAAATATTCGATTCGCAAGAGATGCTGTCGTACTCTGGTCATGAAGAAGAAAACGCTTCACACACTTAGGAAATTGCTGTGATGGTGATTTCATGGATACACGATTATCAAAGCATCCTTCAAAATAAAGAAGAAGCAAATCACAATGAATGCTACCCAGTGTTACGCATCCACCAATGATGGCATTGGCAATGACCAGTTCTACGAGACGCTGCGATTGATCTTAGCGAAATGCACAGGTAAGGATCTGATAATCCCGCTGGGAGACCCAAACACCAACATCGGAATGGTCAACATCGAGTATGAAGATATCATGGGACGACATGGACTGAGTGGGAGAAAGGAACGAGAATGGTGACAGATTTGCATATATATGTGCATTCACCAAATTGCAGATACATGTGGAATATCTAGCAGGGACATTGGAGAACCTAAAAGAGAAAGAAATATCAAACAATTATATGACATAATGAAGAAACTGGCAGAGAAATACGGCAAACCAGAGAGACCCGTCAAGGATAAAAAAGGCAGAACAATCATTGAGATTCAAGGACAGGGGAGCAGATGTGTGAAGCACTTTGAAGCACTCTTGAATAGGCCAGTGCCATTGAATCCACCGGACATCGAAGCAACACACACAGACCACACGCAATACAATGGACAGCTTGGATGCGTCTAGACGATTTAGACTTCACAGATGAAGTAGCCTTCTATCCCATATACATTAACAAATGCAAATCAAAACAACTAGTGTAGCAGCAGCTTCTGCGTCAGTAGGCTTCAACATACACAAGGGGAAAAGCAGGATCCTCAAATACAACACGGAGAACACCTTGATGGAGAAGCTCTGAAACAGGTGGAGGCTTTTAGATATCTGTGGAGCAACACTGATTAGCAGGGAGGATCTGATGCAGGTGTGAAGGTAAGGATTGGCAAAGCAAGGACGGCATTCCTATAGTTGAAGAACATATGGAACTCAAGACAACTGTCAACCAATACCTAAGCCGCAATCTTCAATACGAACGTCAAGACAGTTCTACCTAACGGAGCTGGAACTTCGAGAACTACCACAAACATCATCAAAAAGTACAAGTATTCATAAACAATTATCTACACAAGATGCCATCAGCAACAGCCTACTGTGAGAGAACAAAACAAGCCTCCAGTTGAGGAGGAAATAAGGAAAAGACGATGGGAGTGGATAGGACACATATTGAAGAAATAATCAAACTGCATCACAAGATAAGCTCCAACTTGGAATCCTGAAGGGAAACGGAAAAGAGGAAGGTCAAAGAACACTGCGGCGAGAATTGGAAGCAGACATCAAAAGAACGAACAGCAAATAGAAAGGATTTTCCAGGACAGAGTTGGATGGAGAATGCTGGTGAGCGGCATATGCACCTCCACGAGAGGTAACACGTGTAAGTAAGTACAGATTTTTGAAGGCTGCAACAACGAAAGTTACATTAGGAAGCGGTTTGACATGAGTAAGAAAATTTAATAGTCCACATGTTTTCAAAGGGAATGTAATTATTAAACTATTTACACCTAAACTAATAACAATAATAATAATATTACCAAGCTTTTCTTTGTCATCAAGATTATATATTCTATTTACGTCCTACTGTATACAGACGTTGTGAGTAATGAATAGATATCCTAGATTTAACTACACCTACGAAGACATTTACACAGGAAGATCAGGCAAGCCCATCGTGACTGTCTTAAACACTGCAGTATGGCTAAGTAAAAGGTATAATGAATCTATCAAACCTTAAATGTTGTTTTACCTAGTAGACAGAATACAATTTCAAAAGAGATTATCATTGAACATCATATACAGAGTGTAAGTAATAAAGCTTCAAAGGTTTGTGAGACAACACTTATAAAGTATACATAGCAGAAACAATATCCTGGAAAATTTTCCGTCCATATATATGAATACAAAAATTAATTCTTCGTTTTCTTCTTTTTTCCATGAACTTCAGCATAAAGATCTATATATTTTAAATAAACATTTCTACCGTTAATTGTAAGGCTGAGTGGGGGAAATTATCGAAAACAAGTAGTTGTTTAAATGATTATTAACAAATTATCATTTGTGAGAAATGTAGCCTTGGAACACTTATTATCATAAGCACTCTTTTCTGACTGAGGTTGCTAAAAAATTTAAAAATTGACGCTTACCTGTTTTACATTGGAAAATAAAACGATTCCTGCTTTGAAAATAAAATTCTGTGCTAAATAACAAACAGTCCCACTGACGAATATAATATTGGGATGTAGACAGAGAATTTTACAAACACAATTGGTTATGTATTCTTCTTCCTGCAACAACCAAAAAGAAGAAAATATACGCCGTATACCGTTTTAGTGCAATAAAAACATAATTAACCATCCACATATATCGGATGTCCAAAAAAAGCGTGAACACACCTAATTGCTACAATTAACCATTGCTCTGCAGACGAAATGTACGTCTATCAATCAAAAGACAAGCTGAGTAGCAGTTAGTTTTAATCTATTTTATGACTGTGAAACGAGGAATTCAAAGATAGATAGTCGTAGATTACTAGTATTTGATAATAGTTTCAAACCATTGTTCGTGTATGTTAGAACCAGCGTGTGAGCAATCTTAAAGTTAGACGTAGGGTATTAGGTTTTACAATTCGTACACAACGATATGATGGACCTAAATACATTATGATTAATAGAGTAATATATACGATTTATGTTGATGACATAAGTTTAATATTTTCCACTATCAAATAAAGTAAAAACTACGAGTACAATGTAAATAATATTGATGCCTAAATGTGATATGGAAGAGGTTACATTGAATTTATTCTACATCATCAGAATAACACAAAATGCTAAGAGGAAAAATTTGTTGAATTTTCTAAATTAAGAAGTACTATTGAGTAGAGAATACCATAAATAATCATTTTACCAGCAAACAAATATGATTTATCAAGTCAACATCAACACCAGATGTGATTTAAACATGAAAACTATTATAAGACGAAATAATATAAAATATATCCTTATACATATATGTTTTCATACTTGCATAATCTGAGATTCTAACCACGTCATTTTAGAAGTAGTACGTTGATAATTTATAGATGAATCCAATAGAAGAATGCGTGGATTATTTAAAACAGTTGGCATTAATTTGTGGGTTGGACGTTTAGAGATAATAAGACCAGGGAACAAGTCTGAATTTTTGTTATCTTCATCCAATAGCTATTTTAATCAACAAACACAAATAATGATAGTGTTAAAATAAATAAACACTTATCAATTAAATAATATGTAAAATAACCAACTGTTTATGAATGAAATAAGATCTAATGATGTTACTAACACTGGTAATATATATATATATATATATATATATATATATATATATATATATATATATATATATATATATAAATTTACAAAATCTTTTATCATTATATGGATAATAATTAATTACGCATTAGGTCAAATTATCTATGCTAACCATCAGATATACTAACTAATATGAAAAATCGTATCAAAAGACCAGTGACGAACAGGCTTTTTCTTAATAAAATGTCACACACATGCATAAAATATTAGTTGTCTGAGAAAAAAATGTTTGTTTAGATCACTAGCCTATCAATAAGGGTAAAATCTGACAATTAGGATTGATTCTTACCTATCAATATCATATTCTTCATCACTGATCTAATCAATGAAATCCTTAAAGCAAATATGAAAAAACGTAGTAAAATTCTTATTTTTACAAAAATTATGGAAAAGTTATCAAGCATGTAAGCTAAAAACTGAATAATTTGTCTATTTAAACTGTTTTGAAATCTGTAATATTCATGACTATTGTAACTTTTTCATCGCCTCCGAATGCCTTGGTACGGTCGAGAGTGAGGAGAGTCCGCTCTTCCTCTCGAAATGCTCTCACATGGCCACGCGTATATAGCCTCTTCCAGGGAAGTCCTACTCACTGCCTTCTCGTGGCGGGGGTGTTGTTTACGAAATTGAGAGGACGAAAAGCGTTGTCCGGCGCTCTAACCGGGTTGGTGGACATGGAGAGTCCACCTAGAGGAGTTGGAAAACCCTGATTCCAAACCAATGGTGCACATGGGCTCCAGTTTCCTGAAGGAACAACTGGCATACGAACCAATTGTTAGTCACCGGCTACCATGTGACTGCATGTCCTGACGTTGCTCCGCTGTCTTGTGGATCAAACCTTTAGGTTGAAGGCTCCGGGTGTGGTCCTCTAAGAAAACCACCTGCTTCGGTTTTGGCACCCGGGCAGTATCACAGCCCTCACACATATCAAATGAGATTTGTGTGGCGCATATGTATTTGGTGCCTCTTTGTACCAATATCTATGTGTTAAAATAAATAAATAAAAATAACTTTTTCATCCCAGTAATCAACCATGAAAATTCAAAATACCGAATAAGACAAGATAAATCAAATCATTGACATATGGTTTAAAAGTGTAAAATTATTAGTTAATAACATACATACACACTGCATTTTAAATAAATTAACCGAAAAAAAACTGAAAATTGACAAGAGCATTTGTCCATATAATACAAACCAAAAACCCTGAAGAAACTAATTATTCATGCAAGAATTAATTTCGAATCATTCAACTTTACTTATGAATTTGAAATTCAATGCAGGTATGAAAGTACTTATGAATTTAGATGATGGATGTAATGATGAGTCTCATCGTTTCCAAAAGACAATGTTCACAATTTTTCGTAATGATTACCAATCATTTATAAGGCTAAATATGATCATATCATTGTCAGTTAAATTGTAAATAAAATTTAAATTATCAAAACACTACTTGAAATATATAGTCAGTAGGTTAGGACGTACTTTTTTAATATGTACATAATATCGAATATCCATTGGTGAGTAAACTTGTTGTTTATAGACAGTATTAGAATTCATAACGGATTTCTGTACGTCATTACTTTTTACAGTTTCATTATTTGACTGAGATTGTTGCTTCTGTTGTCGATTAAATTGAAAATAACGTAAACCAGTTGATCGTAAATCAAAGTGCACCGTTTGACAAACATTCCATGCCAAACGAATTAGAATTGATGCCCAGCTAGAATCTAAGACATTATCTCGTACATCTTGTAAAACCAACTGATATATATGTTTATCAAAGATATTCCTAATAGTAGTTTTTTTTTAAATAAACATAGGAACAGAAAGAGGTAATTGAAGAAGGTTAATTCAAACAAATTTTATACACTTCAAAATTCTAGCTGATATAATTAAACATATTTAGAGCACATCTATAGATAACAATTTTGTTGAAACAAGTTTGAAAGCATATATTGAGATTTCTTAAAACTGTCACTAAAAAAATATATTAGAAAATGTGATGATTGAGGAATGAAGAGACATGTTTAGTTAGCTACCCACGAATCCCACATTATGATGGGACGAAGGAGCACTGATGAGGTACTCGGAATAAAAAGAGTGAAACGAGAATATAACTTAACATATTTTATATTTTAAAGCTCCTGTTTAGTTGCCAGAGTCAGTGATAGAATCTAAATTACGACGTTCAGAAACAAGAGATTCTTGAGCAACTAATTATTTCCCATCACCTTGTCATCAGGCCCTGCCATTATAAATACATAATTGTTGTCTTAAAATGACCAGAGGAAGGCACATGTGAATGAATAAGATTAACTATGTTACCTGTTCAAAATAATGAATTTTTTATATGTAAAAGTCTAGATATCTAGAATATGTCATTTTTCGAATCCAGGTCATCTATTAAAAATGGTGGGAAATTTCAACGTAAGGTATCAAGTTGCAAACAATTAGCTTAGATAAATCATGTGAACAGAATGCAAAATAAGAGAAATGTCTGATCAACTGAGACAATAATAATAATAACAATATTGTTATTATTATTATTATTATTATTATTATTATTATTATTATTATTATTATTATTATTATTATAGCATTAATAGTGATATTTCAACCATGTAAATAAAATATGTAGTCAGAAGATTATGAATGAGATAAGAAATTCAAGTGGATTGAGCAAGGACAATGTGCAAATTGGGAATGATACGGGAGAGATAAACGTAAAACGTATATTGGCAGCAAGAGTCCACTATATAGTTTATTGTATGGGATGACCCTATGATGGATCATAATAGGTGGAGAAATAGAATATACCGCTTTTGGACGCATAAGTTCCGCTTTCTGGAGTTAATTCCGCTTCCACGACATATATGAGCCCTAGTTTTGCTTCTTCAGGTAGATTGTTCGGGACTTAATACAGAAACGGGAGGGCTTCACTTATTTTGGGATGATGTTCGCTACATACTAAGTGAGAAAGTATGGCACTTTTGACCTATTTCGTGACTCCTTTCCCTAATCATATCGCTACATGTTCATAAGTACTCAAGGGTAATGCTCTCTATGTCAGGCCTATGTAACTAACTCCGCAAGAACAGTCAAATTGGTGTGCACATATGGAAGAGCAAATCACTGGTATACTATCATTGATTCGTTGGGTAGAAAGTGGCTTAGTTAAAAAAGTTACATAAAAATTAACAGAGTTAAACCTCTTTTTAACAGGTTTTTTATGATGAGATGTCAAAATATCACCAGCTGCATTGCCTTTAAAATTAAGTTTTAAATAAAAAAATTTTTACTGACCATGGTGGTCTTTGTCTTATTTTTTGGTTCGGATAAATACTTGATGACGAAATCAGCTGGATAATAATTTTCTTGTAAAATATTCTTCAATCGAACTATCACAGTCTGATTTTATAACTTGGGTGTTTAATAATTGCCACCCAGTAATAAAATTCACACTAGAAGTTAAAAACAAAATGACAAGAAAGCATGATGGTACTCTCAGAAGATCTATCTACAGGAAACCCATGTGGAATGGCCAACTATCAAGTTTGCACGGCTGGGTTCCTATTAGTAGAAAAAGAAACTTAATAACAACACTCTCCACAAGAATACGAAGAATTTGTAGTCCCGAAGTCATAGATGAAGAATTGGGCCTCTTAAAGGAGATACTTATCAAAAACGGGTATCCTTCGATATTCATTGATAAGAAAATGAAGCCGAGAACTCCGAAAACACAAATAATTACAGTGGAAAAGAAAACTTTATACATGAACATCGACTTCAAGGGTAACAGAGCTACATACATCCTAAAGAGGAGAATTTCTGATTCCTTGGAGAGAACATTCTTCGCAGCAAGATTGCGAATAGTATTCTCCAGTCAATCATTGTTCACTAATAATCTCGAAGGTAAATTATCGAATCTGACCAACCCTATGTGCATTTACTAATTTACCTGCTCATGTGGAGCTAGGTATATAGGTCGTTCGATGCGTACTTTATTCAAAAGAATTCTAGAACATTGTCCGGCGTGGCTAAAAAGAGGAGGAAACGGCTCAATAAGAAGTTTAATAATCGAACACCTTGTGAGCGCATATCACTCGATCAAGACAGACTCTGCGTTCAAAGTCATCTACAAGGTAAGTAGAAGTTTTCCAAAGACAATTAGACTGTATCTTCTTTGCATTGCCGAAGCATTAGCCATACATCTGGAAAAACCAGAACTGTGTGTGCATAAGAGACTGGTACAACCTCTTCTTCTACCATGGTCTTAATGTCTTATAATTTTTTCTCTTTTTATACTCTTCTTCCTTTACAGCCATCTGCTTCACCTTCTATCTTCCTCTTAAATTCCCTACCCCCAACTAGTTTATTTTGTTTCCACGATCATTCTGATAACATTTAATCTGAACTTCAACATTTTATCTTATCATGCTGATCCATCCTTTCCCAGTGATAACTACCCTATCTATCTTTTGATAAATACTTAAGCCATTAAAAACCAAACGATTATTAAACTTTTCTTGTTTTAACAAGATTTTTTTAAAACATTTGTTTATTTAACCTCACTGTCACTATGTCTAACGGAAGTTTATTATCAATATCATTATCATCCTGTAAAAATAAGTATATATATTTGCGATTGTACAGCTTTGAAAATGAATTCGCCGAAAAGAGAACTCTTCGCTGAACTAATCTTATTTAAAATACTGTAATACTTCAAAATTCTGGTTTCCGAAATATCATAATTAACAGTCTAGAATAAATGCTGAAGGTAAGAAATACTAGTGCGAGTGCTTCACCAATGACCAAAATCTCGATTTATGGTTTTGAATAGATTCTATCTCGTAGTATAAGTTACATCTGATATGTAATAAAACACTAATCTCCCGATTTCCACATCTTTGCTTGAAATTGTGTCAATGATGTCAAGCAAAAATGGAGTACATTGTTTCAGAGCAATAAGAAAAGAAACACAGAGGTAATATGGAACTGTTATTAAATGATTAGCAACCAAGGGGCCTGGGATGATGTTCAACGTCGAGAGCTGAAGTGGTGATTATGCATACAACGAAAATGTGTGACCACAAAAGCTGTGGTGAGAAGTGCATCATTTCTGATACATATTTCTTTACTCTGCAAAAGGCTTCAGTGACAGGGTTGTTACAGTACTATTAACTGTTATAAGAAGATTAATGATAAAAGAATTATGATATGTCATTGAACACCTCCTAGTAATTAGATGGGGTAATGTTAGTTATCTAACACGCATTGTATGAATATAATATTGTACTCATACAAAAGTAAACTATTATACACACGATGAAGCAGTACGGGAAAATCGCTCTCAAAGTCAGCTCAAGCAAAAACTCTCCTCTCAAGATAGATTTCGTCGAAGACCATGTATAATCTTATTCAATATATAAGTAAGGTTCTCTTTGAGTGGTTAGAATCTTGTACTTTTAACGACAGATACCTGGATTCTGGATTTCCTCTTTTCAGAAGTTGAGAGTTCAAATTCACCTGCTGATTATAATTAAGTATAATTCGGAGAATATATTAAAATGAAATACGTCAGCATACAACTTCATGCAAAATGAACAAGTTTAACTTGTTACACTTCACAAAATTATAATGTTATTCATTTCATTATTATTTCGACCTCAATAAATTAGTTATAACTTCTAACCCAGTAAACCATATCAATCTTGAAAGAATTAGCCATTGTACATAACCGAAATAGCAAATAATGATATGTTTATAAAAAAAGTCATAGAAACAAACACAAATGAAAGAAAAAAACTCACTTCATGTTACATATGTATTCATCAGTATTCATCAATAAGCTAGTATTTAGCTGTACTGAAAGATCAACTGAGTGCTGCTGGTTATTTAGTGTTGGTTGTGTTGCATATTTCCATTTTTGTGTTGAACCAAGAGATTCAAGACTACAATCTCGCATTCTACTAACATCTTTTCCAACTTCAAAACTGGATCGAACTGAACAATAATCGTGTTTAAAATATCGAAAATAAGATGGTTACTTCGCAAATTATTCATAAATTAGAAGAAAATATATTATACGATAAATAAAACGGTATTTTAATAATCCAAGGTAATGAACTCTTAATTAAAGGATTATTGGATTCACGGTCACTTCATTTAAAATACGCTGGCCATTGGTTCAGTAAGTTTATTTCCCATGCAAATTAAAACGTGAGTAAATCCATTTTGTATTGTTTCTATGAATCTTCCCATTGATGTTTAGGACTGCAATTAATCAGTCTCTTATTGGCATATGTACTGGGTTCGAGTCACGGAGTGAACATCAACTCTGGGATGCAGGTATATCCAGCTTGCAAGTCCCAAGTAGGATGAAACGCGCATCCAGAATTCCACTGCCGGCTATCATCAATTTTCGCTTAAAATGTGGATACTTATGCAACCACTAGTATATAAAAATAAAATTTACTATGAAATTGCTTATTGACATTATTCGGTAAATTTTGAATATTAGGAAACATTAGCTCAGTAGTTTGGAAACTAAATTGAAAAAGTTAGAGCAAGAATAGCAATCAGTTATTTCGTAATCACAGAACACTATATTCTCGCACATCTTAAAACGTAAAACAAAGTACTTTTAAAAAAAAAACATATTTTCATAGGTTAACCGTCTCCAGTTGGTTGATAATACATTATATATTATTCGACGGTTTAGCACAAGGTAAACATGGCAGCACGAAACTCAGTTCTTGTGAACGCATTAAATTAATGTCTAGTTGTACTGAATCATCGGCGTATTTCATTAAAAGCAAAGTTCTTTATTACATATTCGACAAGCGATAGCACAAATAAACAGGACGAGTTTCAAAATGTTTGAAATTTGTCAGTTGAATGCATAAGTAAATCAGTAGATGGAAGGTGACTGCACTGGGACTGAAACCCAGTAGCAATCGATACAAACACCAAAAGAGTTATTGACTAAAAATACTGAATTGTAATGCACACTTCTTGTTCATTGTTCATAAAATATCATGATTCTCAAAAGATCAGTACGTTTTCAATGAAGTATATTGGTGTATTGTATCAACCACTTACCTACAACGGTAAAAATCCGATGATAAAAAATCTACAAACAAAAACTCAGTGTTTTGATTTAGACTAATAAACGAAGGGGGATATACTTACTTCCTTACGCCTGTTACTCCCAATGGAGCATAGTCCGCCGACCGGCATTCTCTAACCCATTTTGTTCTGGACCTTCCTTTCCAGTTCTATCCAATTATTGTTCATTTTTCTCGTGTTTGTCTCCATTTTTCAAAGTAATGTATTCTTTGGTCTTACACTTTTCCTTTGGCCTTGAGGATTCCATGTAAGGGCTTGTCTTGTGACACAGTTGGGTGCTTTCCTCAATGCGTGTACTATCCACTTCCAGCCCTCCTAACTGATTTCTTCCTCCGCTGGCATCTGGTTTGTTCTCTCCCACAGTAAATTGCTGCTGATAGTGTCTGGCCAACGGATCCGAAGTATTTTACGTGGACAGCTGATAATAAACATTTGTATCTTTTGGATGATGGCTTTCGCAGTTCTACAGGTTTCCGCTCCTTGCCTGACGTCACTCTTCACTTTGAACGAGTCTGTCAACAGTCCTCCATGAACGGTTTTGAAGTTTAATCCATCATAGGAATTCCGTATGATATTGACTATCTTTTCAGGCACGCCATAGTGTGGAAGAAGCCTCCATAGTGTTGTCCTGTCCACGCTATCAAATGCTTTCTCGTAGTCAATGAAGTTGATGTAGAGTGATGAATTCCATTCAATTGATTATTCCACAATCATACGTAGTGTTGCGATTTGATCTGTACACGATCTATCCTTACGGAATCCAGCCTGTTGGTCTCGGAGTTGGGCGTCTACGGAGTCCTTCATTCTGTTTAACAATACCCTGTTGAAGACTTTTCCTGGTATTGAAAGAAGAGTGATGCCCCTGTAGTTATCACACTTGCTGAGATCGCCTTTCTTTGGTATTTTGATCAGGGGTCCTACTTTCCAGTCTGTCGGTACTTGTTCTTTATCCCGAATCTTGCTGAAGAAAATGTGGAGTATCTTTGCAGTTACTGCTACATCTGCTTTCAGAGCCTTTGCTGAAAAATGTTGGTTGGTCCTGCTGCTTTGCCACTCTTGATTTGTCGGTTGGCTATGCTGATCTCTTCAATTGTTCGTGGGCCAACATCGATTGGGAGGTCTGTAAGTGCTACATCGATGATGGGTGGGTTCAGTGGAGCTGACTCGAATGCCTTGGTACGGCCGAAGGTGGGGAGAGTCAGCTCTCCCTCTCGAAATGCTCTCACATGGCAACGCGTATGCAGCTACTGCCAGGGAAGTGCTACTCACTGCCTTCTCGAGGCAGGAGTGTTGTTTACTAAATTGAGAGGACGAATAGAGAACGTCCGGTCTTTAGGTCGAAGACTCCGGGTGATGCTCCCTAAAAAATCCACCTGCTTTGGTCTGGGCACCCAGACAGTATCACAGCCCAGACACAAATCAAGTGACTTGTGTGGTGCATATGTATCTGGTGCACCCTTGTACCAATATTTATGTGTTCAAATAAATAAATAAATCAGTGGAGCTGGTCGATTCAAGAGTTCTTTGAAGTGTTTTACCCACCTGTTTCGCTGTTCTTCGACGTTGGTGATTACTTTGCCCTCCTTGCTTTTCACTGGTCGTTTTGGTTTACGATAATTTCCAGCGAGTTTCTTTGTTGTATCATACAATTGTCTCATGTTTCCTCCTCTTGCAATCTTTTCCCCCATCGTTATTAAATCTTCCACATATTTACGTTTGTCAGTTCTGATGCTCCTCTACACTTGCTTGTTTACTTATGTGTATTCAGCTTGTACCCTGGCTTTCTCTGCTCTTGTTCGGCTGGTATTGATTTCTGCCTTCTTGTTCCTCCTTTCTTGAATCTTATCCAGTGTATCAACAGTGATCCATTCCTTGTGGTAGTACTTCTTGTGGCCCAGAACCTCATGACATGTTGAAATGATTGCCTCTTTTATCCCCTTACAGTTGCTCTCCATAGTAGTTTCTTCTCCATTGAGTAGATCATGAAAGGCTTGGAACTTATTGCTGAGGAATATCTTGAATTTGTTGAGTTTGTCAGTATCCTGAAGAAAGGCCGTATTGAACTTTTATGATATTGTCCGCCCCATTGTCCAGTGCTTCTTGAGTTTTAATTTCATCTTGGTGACCAGCAAGTGATGATCTGATGCTATATCAGCTCCTCTTGGTTCTCATATCCTCCATCGTCCTCCTGAACGTTTTGTTGATGCAGATATGGTCGATTTGGTTCTGCGTAGTGTGATCCGGTGAAGTCCATGTGGTTTTGTGAATGCGTTTATGTGGGAATATAGTGCCACCTATGACCAGTATATTGAAGGCACATAGATTTGCAAATCTCTCACCATTTTCATTCATTCCTTCCAGTCCATGTCGTCCCATGATGTCTTCATATCCGGTGTTGTCCATTCCAAGCTAGGTAGCAACTCATTTCTATATCAAAAGAAGCAGATTGGATAAATTATTTTGCCCAGCAGAAATAACGAAGAAACAACTTATTTGGGTATTCTGTTCTAACACTCAGTCACTAGATCTATATGAGTAGAAAAATGCCATGAACAAATACAATATTCTACCTAATTTACTCTCTCTGTTTAAATATCTGTCAATAGTTAAACTTGTATGTTCTCTTGAAAATTTGTGTTAATCAATTGAATATCCTTTCCACAGGTTTACTGACAAGATTGCATAAAAAATGAACAATATGTGAAAAATAAAATATATGCCAAAATTTGACATATTTTGTCAGTCTTCTCTGTGTTCATGAATTTCAATTAATAAAAATTTAAATACAAGAAACTATAATATCCATAAATTTACCCCCAGGTGGTTTTGATATGAAATCATTGAAGCTTGCCATCAAGCAAGGTGAAGAAGATCTAGAAATCTCATTCTCAGAACTATTAATCTCTAATAACCAATTTGGTTCATGAATCCCAAGTATATTTGAATAAGCAGTACTATTAGTAGAAGTTGAGTTGACATTAAAATTATTATAAAATGAAGTAAAATCCACAGTTTTTCTTCTTGAATTAGTTTGATGATATAATCGACTATTTGAATCAATCTGGAACAATAATAAACATTGCGAATAAACATCTGTGAACATTCAATTCCTTTACAATAAAACTATACATATACTTTCTAGATAATGATAATTTCAGTCAGTCAGTCAGTCAGTAACAACGTAGAACTTCGTACGTACGTACGTACGTACATCGGTTCGAGTTGCCACACCACAATAGCACAGAGATGCAGTGGTCGATTCAAATCCCGTAGTGGTAGAGGTAATAAGAGTATAAGCAGTAATCGGGAAGATTAGTGTTTGGAGATGTTACTTAAAGAGTATAATACAGTGAAATAAATTTGGGAAGAGAAAAAAGAGACAAGGAGGATTAAGGAGATCAAAATTTGGGAGAACACAAAGAGTGTATGCACCTGCGCCATTGCAAACGATTTTGAACCATGACATTCAGGATCTCTAACTGTTGGGGACGATAGATTCCCAAACTCATATTTTAAATTTTTTCTTATCGATCATCTTATCGATTAAATGCGCAAATAGGTCAATTAATGAACTCATTGATTAATTAAAATAATCCATAGTGTCATTGAATAAGAAAAAGAGAATTCAGCGAAGAAAATTTTCTTTTCGACGAAATCATTTACTTAAGCTGTACATTCGTATATATAGTTATATGGAAAATGTATGTCTATAGAAGGATAGAAAGGATTGTATCACGAAAAATGGATTCGACAATAAATAACAAATGAGGTTAACGTACTAATCAAGGGGTAAGGAAGAACAAAATTTAAGGGTCAGATGATAGTCCAATTGACAGATTGACAGATATGAAGAAAAACGACAAAACAACAAAGGTCATAATAATAAACTGAATGATAATCAAGAAAACTTGTAAAAGGTAATAATAATAAATGATTAAAGTTTAAAGTGCAAAATAGTAATTTAAAAATATGGATAATAATAAAAGTACATTTTAAAACAACTCTTGTGGACTGTTGTAATCAATATGTAAATAAAATACCAACAATTAGCCGATTACTCACAAAAGAACATAAATCTCAATTATCTGATCTGCGGAGAAATCAGGACTTAGTTTTATACCGCCCAGACAAGGGTGCAGGAATTGTTCTTATGGATCGTATTGACTATGTTACAAAAATATCTTCAATATTATCTGATCCTGTCAAATTCTCTATTGAGAACGTTCAAAAAGACACTACTGAAAAAACTGAACAAATGCTAATTAAAATTTTGAAGAAAATGAAAGATGAGGATATTATCAATCATGACCTCTATGAACACCTCAAACCATCTGGTTCTGTTGTACCAAGACTATATGGACTACCAAAAGTTCATAAGAATAATAACCCACTACGTCCTATACTGGATATGAACAATTCTCCCTATCACTTAATCGCTAAATGGTTAGTTAACATTCTACAACCTGTCAAAAATCATATCAATAAACACAATTCTCTTGATTCCTTTGACTTTGTTGACTCCATTAGAAATATCAATGTATCCGGTAAAAAAATGTTCTCATTAGACGTCACTTCTCTTTTCACAAATGTTCCCCTCACAGAAACCATTTGCTTTTTATGTGACTATATTGAAAATAATAATCTTGATATGCGTATCCCGATACATTACCTTAAAGAACTACTTCTAAGATGTACGCTCAACGTGCAATTTAGATTTAATGATATTTTCTATAAACAAATAGATGGAGTTGCAATGGGCTCTCCATTGGGTCCTCTTCTGGCTGATTGTTTTATGGCGAACCTAGAAAATTTGGTACTTCGACCAACAATTGAAAGATTTCATTTATATAAAAGATATATGGATGACACTTTCATTATTTGCGAAGAAGACAGTGACCTCAATGATATTTTGAATATTTTCAATAACTGTCACCCATCAATCCAATTCACCTTAGAAGCAGAGACAAACAACGAATTTCATTTTCTTGATATCCATTTAAAAAGAATGCCTGACGGTTTATTACAGAGATCGATATACAGAAAACCCACTTGGAATGGACAATACACGAACTTCCACAGTTGGGTTCCATTAATTAGAAAAAGGAACTTAATTCATTCTTTATCCTCAAGGATCAGGCGAATTTGTTCCAACGACACAATAGATGGGGAACTATTTTATCTTCGACAGACCCTTATCAAAAACGGTTATCCACCGAGATTCATCGATAGAAACTTGGTACCTATACCCCATGACAAAGCATTGACAGTAGAGAAAAAAACTCTATTTATGAATATGGAATTTAAGGGAGATACAGCTGCTGAAATCCTAAATAAACGGATTTCGAAATCAATGAATAAAACATTCCACGCAGCTAAACTTCGAATCATCTTCTCTAGCCGACCTACCATTCTGGGGTGCGTAAAGGACAAACTTTCGCTTTGGGCCACTTCAATGTGTATCTATAAATTTACTTGCTCATGTGGGGCACGTTACATAGGCCGCACAAAGCGATCATTATCCAAACGCATCTCGGAACATTATCCGGCTTGGCTTTTGAAAGGAGAGCGAAAAACAATCACGAGTTCTATACAGGAGCACTTAATCAACTGTGGACATATCGCTCCAAAAGACTCTTCGTTTAAAATAGTTTACAGAGTCAAAGGAACTGGATCGAAGGGGGTTCGAATCAATATTTTATGCACCGCAGAGGCATTGGCAATCCACAAACTGAAGCCTGAACTTTGTGTGCAGAAACGATTTGTCCAACCTCTTATCCTTCCTTGGCCCTAATGGGTATGTTGCTAGGTGTTTTTTTTTTTTCTAATGTACTTTTATTATTATCCATATTTTTAAATTACTATTTTGCACTTTAAACTTTAATCATTTATTATTATTACCTTTTACAAGTTTTCTTGATTATCATTCAGTTTATTATTATGACCTTTGTTGTTTTGTCGTTTTTCTTCATATCTGTCAATCTGTCAATTGGACTATCATCTGACCCTTAAATTTTGTTCTTCCTTACCCCTTGATTAGTACGTTAACCTCATTTGTTATTTATTGTCGAATCCATTTTTCGTGATACAATCCTTTCTATCCTTCTATAGACATACATTTTCCATATAACTATATATACGAATGTACAGCTTAAGTAAATGATTTCGTCGAAAAGAAAATTTTCTTCGCTGAATTCTCTTTTTCTTATTCATTGATTAATGTTTAAAAATTTTCTATGACAATATCGATTGTAAATAATTGTATAAATACGCTTGACTTGTATGCTTGATCTGATCTGCCTGCCTGACTTGGTATCTGTTGTTGCTTGTAGAATACACTTTCTACGCCTTGCCAAGACTTCTTGATCGAGTTAGCTGAGTCGAAGACAACGGACCAGAACAGTCTATTGAGTCTCTGAATCCTGAGCCTTCGTTCCGTTCCGAATAAGTCGAATCAGTAGTATCCTCAAGGTTAACGAACCTAACACTAACCATCAGTTGCTATCATCTCGCAATCACCAACCAGGTAGTCTACACCTACCAACATGACTCAGTCTACTTGTCAGTGACTTCATAGACTTGTGCCATGTTTTGGTCTGGCCGCCCCTAGCTTTCTTCTAACCTATTCCTATACCACTGAACATCGCACGTCGAGGAATTTGGTCGTTGGGCATACGTAACACGTGTCCCAACCATCTCAACTGATGAAGTTTCACTACGTCATCAATTGATTTGCCCTCCTTACCTAGTACCCGTTTCCTAACAACTGCATTACTTACTCGATGGTCCCAGGATATACGAACAATATTTCGAAGGCACCTATGATCAAATACTAATCTAATACTAGTAATTACAATAATAGTGATAATAAAATTCTGTTAAACATGATAACAGTGAAGTAGAATAAACAAAGGTATTAAGACATTTTCATCAGGGGTACTAATAATAATAATAATAGTAGTAGTAGTAGTAGTAGTAGTAGTAATAATAATAATAATAATAATAACAATAATAATAATAATAATAATAATATATGCGATTGTCAGCTTTGAAAATGAATTCGCCAAAAGGAGAACTCTTTGCTGAACCAATCTTTCTTATATTATATCTCACTGGGTATATTCCGTCAATGAATATTTTTGTAACAGATAATATACTAAATGAATTTAGTAAATTATGGGGGGGGGCAACACAAAGTACTATGTAATAAATAGAAATTTTCATACCATAAAATATATGTGAAAAAGACTAATAGTAAGGTATTATTAAAATAGTTAGATAAACTAATAAAACATCGGGAATCAGACAAACTGTTCTGGAAAAAAATCCTATTGACTTTTGAGGTTTTAAGGAAATTGACCAGAAGTCAATTATCTTTTCATTAGG